ATTTATGATAGACTTTTGAAACTAAAAGAAGATAAGGAGGACTTTTACAAAAAAGTTATAGAAATTTTTGTCCAGAAGGATAGGCAAATGGACTTCATCTTCAAGTCAAGGTAAGACCGCAATTTTTTGAAAATGGGATTTGAACAATTCAATATTTAAATGATAAAATTACATTTTTTGGGTATCCTTTTGTTGAACTGTCTGTTTAAAATTAATCGAAGCATCAGACAAAAAAAGCTTTTGAAAATAATATTATATTTTGGTTTAGGTCAAAATATAATATTTGTAAACCTGAAGAGTCAGTGCCAGTGCCTCACCAGCCATGAACCTCACTGCACGTCACTGCAGAAGCTTATATATAGACATCTAAGTTTTTTGTGCCCCACCACTTTTGTACATATAAAAACGCCACTGCACGGAGTGTTGCACACCAAAACCTACTGACTTTAACATTACATCTATAGACGTCGAGATATTATTACTGCTGAATATTAAATGAAGGTACAGTTGATCGTAAAGTGTTTTCACATACGTGGGTAGCTATGACGTCAGAAGGAGTTACCGTAAATGAGAACTGTGCCGTAAAAGTGTTTCTAGGATTTCTAAACTAACTATTACAGCTGTTATAAAGCATTCAATAAAAAGTCATGAAAGAGATAAGGAGGAGAAAAGGCTTAAGGAAGTAAGCAATGAATACAAAATGTCTAAATCCTCTGTTTCACGCGATGTCGAACATTGAAGACCGAGGAGGGCGTTCCCCCAATCTACACAGCGGGAGAGAACGAGAAGAGCATAAAGCAGATCGGAGGGGACATCACGATCTCTCTTCTTCGCTGCAGCCTCCCAAGGGACAACACCGGCTTTTGTCTCTTCCTTACCTATGTTTGTTCTATAACGACGTTACTTAATTAAAGTATCCATTTAAACCTTTTCAGAGACTCCATTAGTCTCATCATTTTAAGTTTCTTTCCTGGGAGCGAGAAGATCACAATTCATCAATACTAGCACTCATTACAGTCAGTCTACTGAGCTCAGCCCCTCTCCAACACATCATCTGTATCCTCTCAGAAACACAGCATGCACGTTACGGTTCCAAACTAACTCAGATTGGAAAAGGCTAAGCAAAGAGCTTTGCTAAATAGACAGTTTTAGCCCCCATCTTTTGGGATTTCAGACTATAATTATCCAAATAGTATTTTCTCATCCTGAATACTAAGTTGAGATGATTTTGTTCTAACTATGTTTTCTTCTTTACAGGCCAGCACCTCACATGCTTCCAGCAGATTATCTGTGATGATAGATTCTACATGTCAGACTGACCCCACATTCCGTAAGTGTTTAAAATATTTATTATACAACTATTTACAACCAAAGAGTAGACTTTCATATAAATTCGGACGCAAGCACATGAAAAATAAATCTATACATCATTGAAGTGCCAGTAATATTCACATTTTTAAAATGAAGTATGTATTCCACAACAAATTATAAAATAAAAAAAATAGAAACAACTTTCAGTGTTTTACATGCATATAAAAATCTAAACCAAATATTTGTTTTGCTTTTTTTAACATTGCACAGGCTACGTGGCCAACTTGATGGACCTCATCTTCGACCAAGTCTTTGTGGACCCTGCACCATTCACACAGGAGCTTCTGAAGATACCCATCCCAGAGGACCTGTGTTCCCAGTATGAGCGACCTGACAGGGAGGAGGTCATCGCCGGTTATGCTACACGGTTCAATTTGTATAATAATTAGCAAGCATCGTAACAAATAGCTTGTCAACTAACCATTCAGAAACGTCCTGCTGCAACCAAGATGTTTGCACCTCCACCGAAACCTCCGCTTCTTCAGGGTCAGATTCTGGATCAAATTCGTAATATGCTTGAACACATGCATTGCTCTGAGATAACATGTTTATTCTCCACTCGTAATCACAGCAAGCATGGTAACATGACACTCGTGCCGGGGCCGGCATGGTAACATGACACTCGTGCCGGGGCCGTGTCACGCCCCCCTCTCCTGCAGGGGGGCGTGGTCAGCTGCAGCTCACAGAATCAGACCGTAGACAGCAAACAGCACATAGAGCGAAATGAGGCATGGCTAAAATGCATGATCTGTTTGGTATTTTGAAAACATAAACGTATAAATATACCTTATATAGGTATGGCCCTACAATATATCATTTAAATATAGCATGATAGGTCCACTTTAAGTCTACGTTTAATTTTTTCAGTGAGCGATGGTATCTGCTTTTTAAAACATGATTTAACGTTTGCTAACAGATATTGAGATCTGATACATTTATCTGAAAAATAAGCATGTTTGTTATTTTGAGGTTGAAATCAAGGAGTAAGGTTAAACAGAGTGAGATTTACTTGGGAGTAAGCCAAGTTTGTGAGAGAGTCAGAGTGAAAGGTGTCAATTATTTTGCTGAAAGAAAATCAACAGGTTAATGTTCTGTGAGAAGAAATTATGAGAGATCTCAAAACCATCTCCCTCAGCAGTTAACATTGTATTCACATTTGTGGAGAACTTCAATTAGTGAAGTATCCAACTATCTTTACACACCACAGGTTGGTAAAATAGTCCAAGCGCTTGAGAGAGACGTTTGTTGATTGTGTGTAAAATAGATTATTACAGAGTTATTCTAAAGCGGAAACCAAACCAAAATGTTATTACTGTGGCGGAAATCATTGCTGCTTGTGGTGTAAAGTAATGGCACCACCAAGGCAACATTGCAAAAAAGTACATTTCAACATGTCGGCACTGGATGTTGAAAACACATTTAACCAGGATTGTTTGAATTGTCCAACACTGACGACATGTATGGCAGTTTTGTGTCAGGTCAAAAGCATTGTTGAAAAAGGAAACACGTAACAGCTAACCACAAAACATATGCATGCAGCATAACAACAAAACGACTGGTTCCATTTCAAATAGTTTCTTTATTCTGAGTCAGTGACAAATTGCCTAAAAATTGTACAGGTACTGAACAGTGAATCTGTTTGGCAATCAGTGAGGACAGCTGCCAGTGATTGTATTATAAAAAGTAAAAATAAAATATTTTGGAAAACAAAAACAATACCATAACCGTACAAACATCCTGTAACTAACAGCCAATCAGCATATCTCAACTGTGGCTGGAAGTCACATTGGAAACAAACTGATACATCTCCACTGTCTCACTCTGCAGATTCCTCTTGAATGTGCGAAATAACATGACATGTACAGTATATCTATGTTCCATTACTGATATAGGAAAACGATGAAAAAAATTGCATGCAAATTCTCTATAATGCCCTCGTATCCATTCTGAGTTATAGTTTGAATCTGACAAGAAAATAATATCAAACTGAAACATATTATACATCAATACATCATCACAACTTTGATCAACATGAAGCAGGTTAACTGCCTTTATGAGCACCTTTTTTTAAAATATTAATATTTATTTATATTCCAAATTGAAATGCAAACAGTGTGAGCTAAATAAAGGACTGCTGCTGTAAATAAAATGCAGAATGAGTTTACTCTTCACTTGAAGAGCACTGTCAGGCATGGTAAAACACACCAAGTCATTTAAAGCTTTTTGAGTAAAGTCATTAATGTTGGCTCGCAATGTTACAATGGTTTGAGAACACAATGCCTTTACAGTGAATGATGCACTCTGAGGTGCTCCACTAAAAAAAAAAGTAATGGCCTTCTGGCCAGACCTCTGTCACCCACATTTCTTAATAAGTGATTCAAAACGGACACATTTAGGAGAGTAAATCCTCCAATCAGACCTTTTAGACAGGATGAAAGGTAGAGACTTCCTCATCAGACGTTTCTATGCCAAATGTGTTATCAGTAGAAGCCAACAAATGAGCACAGTACAGGGTGGAGGCCATTAGCTAGCCAAACACAGTATCAGCGCTAACGTGCCCAGCTACATTAAAAAAACACAGAGAAGCTGGATTACACCTTACTTACTTGAACCTCTGCTCAGGTAGATATTACTACACATTATTTTTACATGGGAAATAGTTGGTTGCTGCTATTTTAATGCTCTGAACGTTGAATACAGAAATTAGCGAACACAAACCTCATCTTCAGACATATGGCCCTCACTTCATCTATGACCATTTTTTTAATACCTGTGTCTGTTTTGGCATACCTGAAGAACTCATCAAGTGAAGGAATAAACACAGTGCACCTGCATGTGAAGCGAGTCAAATAATGCCTTTGCTAGCATTCACTGGTTCACAACCTGTTGCACAAGGTTAATCAAAACTAACTTACATAAAACGTATATTTGGAAACCAAAATGCATGCACAACAACGTGGTGATTCCTGCTTTGTTTGCATTGTATTCCACATGAGCACACTGTTACAATCAGCTATATAGAACTATAGGAAAGAGCAAACCAAGTAAATAAAGCAAATGAACAAGTGGCTTAGTTTCCATATTTGTGCAAAATAGAAATGTGAAGGTTAGAAATCACAAACAACACCTTCTCCCTTCTCCTCTGATGTAATGAGGGTACAGGGATGGGAGTGGAGAGGGCTGTTGAGAAAAAAGGTGTACCTTTGAAATAAGTTATATAATTTCCATATTGCCTGACAGAAATGTTAGTAAAAACCACAATAAATGACCAATTCTACCAGAACCTTTCAATAAAATCAGTTAGCACTTCAGAGCTCAGCCTCTTTGGAAAAGGTATAATAAACAGATAAAACACAATGATGGACCAACAGGAGGAGCTGATCTCTTTTCTCCTGTTTGTCTTTTGGCGTGTGGTTCCTCAGGTGGCAGTGCTTTAAGCTCACTATGCTATTTAAAGTTTTATTTTTCCAAACAAAATTGATAAAATAATTACAAAAATAAAAGCGTTATTGAAGCTATTTTCATAAAATAACATTTAAAATGAACACTGGATGCATCCAACTCTCTAAATAGTGTTTTGTGGGTTCACTTGCACCCAACAAAACATTTCTTTAAATGTGTATCTACTATTTCAAAAACTGGAAAAACAACAGGTATTGAAAATCACCATTTTGACCCAGGTCTGTTTACAAGTCAGCTGTCAATATGACATAAGGAATGCTTCTGTACATTTAATTTTCAATGAAACTGCAAAGTGTGACACACTGACAAAGGGCATTTTTAGATATTTGCATTATTATGTACAGTAACAGCTGTTCAAATATTCTGATAATTGTGTTTTTTTGTTTTATATTTTAATTAATTCCCATTTATTTTCAGTGACAAACCAAAAAATGATGTTAATAACTAATTTGATAAATTAATAACACTGTATATGCATGCAATATTATTTTTTGCAAGGAAACCGGATTTGTGGAGCATGCAAATGTGAGAATAGTTCCTTTTTTGTCACAATCATCTGTACATATTCAGCATAAGAAAACTACCCTTTTAAAATGTTGATGCTCATTTTGTACGGAAAATCATGAATGCGTTTCATCAATGCAATCTATTTACAAAGAGTACCTTTATACATACAATCCTTCGTCTTATGTTGTACAATACTTTTACAGCATTAAATCATGGAAACACCTCAATAGATACAAAAAAGAAAGGATTATCATCTATGTGCCAAGCACGATGTGTGATGCTGGTTTCAAAGTGCTTCCTATACAGCCACATCATTCACACACAATGTCATAGCTGCATGAAAAGGGATTTTTGAAAAGGCAGTGAGTCAGATAATATGAAGAAGGAATCATCATGAGGGTCTCCCTTTGTTTTTCTTGGAAAGACATCCACCTGCTCTGTGAGCTGCTCTGAATTCTTTATCACAGTTACAGTATTGACGTCACATCAAACACAACAAATAGCGTTTGCTAAAGTGTCCACGCTCGCTTCACTAGGAGTTAAATAGATCAAAGTGTATGCAGTAAAGAAACACATGAGTAGGGACAGTGTCTCCCTGTGGCTGAGACGCTGTCCACAGAGCCTTCATCAGTAAATAAAGACGGCCTCTCCTCCCAGTCTATTGAAGTGAGCTCACCCCTGCCCCGGAGCTTCTGTGGGACCGGCCCTGTGTCCGGACCCCTGGAAACACGCTGTAATGCCAACTCCAGGTTTGGGTAAAAACTCAACGATATCTCCAAAAGTCTTCAAGTTCTCTCTCTGTGGCGTCATGGAGACAGTGTCTGGAAGGACTACTTCTTAGCCAGTTGGAAAGGATGTTGACCCTTTAAACACACGTGTGAACACGGTTTATTCACTTCAGAAGCACAGGCAACATCATCAGGGATATTATAATGAGTCATCCATTACATGTTACGTATTTTTAGCCTTTAATGCCCAGTGCATTTCCAGAGTTTATTTGAGTATCATTTTCTTATTGACATTTCTATTTTTTCATAGTTTTAACCCTTTTGTCCTTTTACCTCACGTGACCTAATGGCAAACCCCCAGAACCCTCTCCTCTCTATTGTCTGATATGAAAGTGTTTAAATATCTGAGGTGACTTGGTCACGACACTATAAACAAATAAACTAAACTAACCTAAACTAGTGACTGTCTGGTCTCTCTGTGAGCACACATCCTCGTGAATAAGGGACTCAACAGCTTCTCACTGTACTACAACACTAGCTGTCCTTGTTCCTGATGTGAAACATTTTGATCAAGTTATTTTTTTGAATCCTGCCTGGGTGGTTTGGTTGATAAGTCTGTTGCCAGGCGAGAGTGGATACAACAGAACTCCACAGTGAATATGTTTGTGACTACATTCATGTGACAATCATTTATCATCTTTTGTCTGCAAACTGTTTTAACAACATTATAGGGACATCACACAAGATTATCTAATGAACTGAACCTTGTGCTGACGATTGGTTTTATGTCCCTAAAGCAAGCTGAAAAAGTGTGATTGTTGAACCTTACAAATAATAAGGAAGCTCTTCCTTTTACTTCCAGGATCCAAGGTTAATAGCAGCTGGATGGGGAGTAATGGATTACATGTAACGGGATTACGTAATCAGTATACAAAAAAAAGGTAACTGTCATAAAGAAAATGCGTCATCAGATTACTGATACATCTTTTTATAAGAGGGATAGACTCACTGCCTGAATTGTATCTTTGGTTTTTATTTAGGCGGCTCTCATTCTTAATTATTTCAACTTTCTTTTTTTAATGCACCTGATTTGTTAAACAAACATAATGTGTTTAATTAATGTATTAAACTAAAACTGCATTTGTAAACTAAACTATTCTGGTTTCCTAGTCTAGAGGACTCATTAAAACCTCTTATTGATATTTATTTTATTTTTAATTCATTTGCATTGCATTTGATATTGAGGTAATCCAAAAGTAGGTTATACTTCCTTTATATTGTGTTACTTAGATTGAATACTGATTCAATAGTTGTACATGCATCTACTGCAGACATTGTCCCGGAATACATTATTAAAGTAAGCCTTCCAACTCTGATGAGCAGCAGGTCTCTGGTGTTTCCCACAATAAATACATTGGGATTATATTCATATCAACGTTAATCTTTAACCGTTTTTGTCAGGGTACTGTTTTAAACCAGATTGTTCTAAGACAGACAGGAGTTTAAATCATACTGCCTAAGTGGAAAAACCCCTGAATGACTGTGAAAAGGTTAAAAATGGAAGAGGTCTAAAAAGGTTTGAGGAAACAGCAGTCTGCTTTTAGTCGTAGCCAATAGATCAGTGAGTCAGTAGTGAGTGTTTTCAGAGTGTTACTGACATCCCGGGCCGCATGCTTGAGTTCACATTGTACTGTATGGGAGTACTGTGACAGAAATACTGTCAGCCTCCAGCTGTTCTTTCACACTCAGACTGAACAGTTCCTCCCTCCTCTGTGGGTTTCACCTCTGCTGGAGGAACTTTGTCGATGTGATCATTGTTATGAGAAAAAAACCTCTGCTTTGCACTGGACATCTAGACAGCCTTTTCTAAAAGTGTATCTTACCTCTTCATTCAAACATGTTAATGTTATCATCATTAACAAGCTGAAACAAAACCACAGCACACAACCCATGCTGTAAGGGACAGACACATCCTTTGAGATAATGTATGGACAGGGTCAGGACTATGTGAGCAGCCATCTTTAGACTGTATGCAGTCAGAATAAACTCTGTAAAGGCAGAAGGCCTCCCTTCACATTACAGTTTCTGAAGATCTGCTACTACAGGTTATATTTGACCAGCTTTAGGCTAAATGCACTTCTGAGTAAGTTAATCTGTCTACTCAAGTGTGCCATGTCCTTCAGCAGTCTGACTCTACAATATTAAATATGTTAATGTAAATAAGAGTTAACGCACAGATATGAAACAAGAATGAATGATGACTGAATTTCCCTACCAGCAGTCAAATATGTAATAAAAGGTACACAAATGAAATCTCTTTTTAGAGAGTGTGTCTGTAAACTTGTTTGACATTAAACGGGAATTAAACCAGCTCAGCAGTAGATTTAACTAACTGGTTAAGACTGAACCACAGGTGCAGTTTAAGAGACGTTTCTGTTCCAGACAACACAGGTTTAAAACACGTCTGAAACCTTGAACGGCAACTAAGATAAAAGCAGAGCAACAGCCTCATTTGAATTCATTTGTCTCTGTTTTTAAATTCCTTTTCTGAAGTGCTTGGACCTGTAGGAAAGGACTATAGTCTATGTAGATGCACTGTCCTGCCTCCATACATTATTTGGTGTGAGAAATGTTTTAGAAACAAAGCCAAAATCCTCAGAAATGTATATTTAATTATGACGGTCATGCTGAACAGAATCAATACTTTGAACATTTCAGAACATATCTGGAGTATTTATGATCAGTATGACAGGTAAATGAAGGCCAGCTAGTGACCTGGTTAATGCGAGGTATGGTGCAGCAACATGACACTGTGAATATTGTTTTGCTGGCACGGACCCAACAACAATCTCCCATGGCAACATCAAACCAGGCAGACAAACACCGGACCAGGTCCTCTCCTCCAGTTCTTCAACACTGAGTGACTCGTGGAGTTAATGAGGTTAGCTTAATGAACACAGCTACTGCAGAACACACACTGCTGAATACATGTTCTTCAGTTGATTTAAATAAACACATTTCCATGTCAGGAAGGTTACAACTTTCTTCATAAAGGGATCAAATACATGTGATGATCGCAGCAGCATGCCTTTGGTGAGCAGCAACATTTCCCTCCAACAATACGGCTGTACGCTGAAGAAACCCAAACGTTGAATTTAATGAAATGTATTATGTAAGGAGAGTTTACTTAACTGTATTAGGTTAGTTGAAATATTAAGTTTAAATACAAAACCTAAGGACCTAACCTAATACAGTTGTGAAATCTGTTGACATAATACATTTAGTTAAAGTCAATGGTTCACTTTTTTCAGTGTATACTGAGCCTCAGATTAGAAGACACGCAAACACACACTACAAACACTGCAGCTAAACACAGAGCATGACAATCATAAAGCAGGAAGTGGCTGTCCTTAACATTTGGCAGAGCTATTTACAATGAAGTGAAATCAGAAGGAGAACATGAAGCTTACATGGAGCTTCTGCTTTCCTTTCACTGCTTCAGATGATTCAAAGATCTTTGTTGACACTCTCCTCCGGGACACAAGCACTGGCTTTAAACATGTTAAACGCAAACTGATCGTCTGCAATATTTCAAATCAGATCATTTTTATCCGATGCAGATGTCTCAGATCATTTTTGGAATTAACTCCAGGAAAAATGTTGAATCGTTGATTGTTTTAGACCAGAAATCCGTACGTTACTACAATTGTTCAGAATGATCTCTGGGAAATGATGTGTTAGTGTAATAAAAAATAAACCTCCCCATAATGTAAAAATATGTAGAGCGTGAAATGTAATTGTGTGTTGCATGTAATGTAATAAGTAATGAGTGATTGTGTATACAGCAGGCATTCCCTCTCTGCAGCCTGACTCAGGGATACACTGATTATATTTAGGATCCTCTGATTGGTGTTTATATGTTGCCTTTTGTCACTGAGGGGTCCCCCCATACCACCAATCCCATAGGTAACATTTGGTAGCTAGCTATGATTTATAGTTTATTATAGGCAAAATGTGTAATATTATAAAAATAGTACTATGCTACATGGTTAGCATTTGTTTCCAATGAAGGCAGGTTTACATCCTCAGTGTTAAATAAAATCTGTTGTAATGTAACAACTATAACATGATCAGTTTCTACATATGCAGCTATGATGATTTGGATCACTTTAGAATCCTTTGGTTATGAAACTGTTACCCTGATGCTTTTGATATCTTTATCTCTCTGCCACTGTGTGAACATATGTTCCAACTGAAACTGTTTGTCTCCTACACTTCATCACACGGAGGAGAGCTCAGCTAAGACTTTCAGAACACTAAAACTAAATATTTCCAGCCCCACAACTCAGTGCAGCATGGTCTGTTACAACAAAACAACACAATACAATAAGTTAATAAGCATTATCCACTTCACATTATGCACAAATATCATGCATCTGTTGACACATTCTTATCCTTCCTTGTCCAATCCGGTATTAAAATAACACATAGATATAAAAATCCAATACATAAACAGTCATACGTATTAAAATAAACAATCTATACAAAAATGTTGCCATATATTTTTAGGATTCCATTTTTTTTTTCCTTGTATAACAGAATAGGGAAAAGTAAAAAAATAAATATCCTATGTACAATCACACAAGCCATTCCAAAGTTATCGTCACTGCAAGGAAAAAGCAAAATGCAAATGAAATGTTAGTTCAAACTCAGTTCATGGTGAAGTCAGCAGACAGTGGGAGACTCAAACTGAAACTTACTTTATTCCAACATCCTGGTACAGGTAAGCCATCGTCTCCCTGAACAAAGACAGACAGATGAAGTTAACAACAAGCACTGCGGAACAGTCAAGGTTCTGCATGCCTGAAGCAACAATGCTTACAAAAGCAGCTTACAATGATGCAAAACAAAAATCAGTATTCCCTTTATAAAGCTAAAATGTATTATTTGGGTCATCCAGGTTCTGTAGGAGAGTCCTGTTCTGTTTCTGCATATGCATCGTATGTGCCATGGTCCGAATTTCCAAAGTGAAATATATTTCCCATGTTCTAGTGGCTCTTTCTGCTTTTTTTGCTTCCAAAATCTCTTTTAGTCTAGTTGCCATCTCACAGAGTCCCATGAACCCGGAAATGTTAAGTACCCTAAAGTTAATGTTAGAAATGTATAGTAGGGTCTCCAGCACATAGAAACTGCCGGATGCTAACCTGTATATGTTGGGCAATTTGAACATTTAGCACAAGGTGTGTTAATTAGCATTAATGGCATAGCCTATGTGGATAATAGTTCATTTAAACAATTTGAAGAATGTTTTTTTCAGGACTAAAATGGCAGTATTAACCAGAAAATCACATTATGTGTTCTCTCTGTGGGCTGATTTGGATTAATTTTGTAGAGAGAATAATTGTTGTCAAAAAGTATTTATCGTAATAGTTTTTGTTTTATTTATCTATCTATCTATCTATCTAAAAGTAACAATTTGGTTAACCTGGATAAAATATTTATAATTTAAAATCAGCTGACTTTAATATTTTGGGTACATTTAAGATACATTTGGAGACTATGGTGCCGTGTTTGATTCTAAATTGCGATGACAACCAGTGATATATTGATTTGACGGTTCAGGTATTTGCCACATTAAACTGACAGAATAAAGACTTCATTTCACAGATTATGGGGTTATATTGAGAGAAGTGTGTTTCTCTTAAGGAACATGAATGATTTCATTGAAAGAAACCTTTGTGTTGGTTAAAATGACTTTCAGAACTTCACAACTCTTTAATATATTCAAAGAAAGAATAAATGATTGTGAGAATAAATACAACCATATGTTGGGACAACATTGGTAGTCTCTGTATTTAAAAATATATTTGAATGTTTTAATCCTTGAGAAATCACTTAACCATGTTTATCCTCACCACTTAAGGTAGAGGGTGACAACAAATGACCCCAAAACACACTCTAGTGTAAACACCAGGCTGCCGGTTCTATGCAACAGTCCACCAACACTATGAAAGATGATTTCATGCATTTCAGGAATGATGCAGCGGATCCACACTACCATTTACAAAGACATGAATATGTGTTAAACATAACCTTACCTGTGTACAATCAGAAAGAAAGAGTTTCCTTAAACAGATTTCTGAACCCTGATCAGTTATCTTCTAATACCAAATGTAACCACTTAGAATCCATTAGCCTTGCAAAGCCAATCCTCATTTTGTTTATTTGTTTTGGAGACCTACTGGGAATAACTACTGCATAACAAGATGCATGTTGGATTCATAAGCAGGTAGGGGGGGGGTGTTTAAAAAAGGACATGACTCACAACTTGCTTAAAGCTGTGTGAACGGAAGTTTTCCTGGTTTCTGATTTGATGGCACTGATAATACCTGGAACATGGTGATGTTAGTATAACCTTCTGAGTGGTTTCCAAATTTGATTTAACAAACCAATCTTCAAATTGGTGAAAGAAGATTGGAAACAAAAGCCACAACAAAAGGCTATCTACTCTGAGTAGTGAGAAACTAAATCTGCAGGGTGGCTTTGTTAGGCTAAGAGCATATTAAAAAAGGAATAAAAAACATGCTGCAATGATGCTTCCATGCTAATAAAAGGACTCTGGTTTGCTTTGACCAAATACAACGGTCTCATACTGCTGTTCACCACCTGTGGTACTCTGATGCCTTGAAGAAGGAAAAACTGGTGCTCCATGCAAGAGATGGAGTGGGAAACAAAGTATTACGGTGAGAGGGTCCAGGATACTTAAACAACAATCTTAAGGATTTAGAAATTAGATTAAATTGTTGTGTTATTGGTAGCATTATAAACAATCATAGATCTGCTATGGGAGTTAAAGGTGACATGTCATGCTTTTCCGGTTATTACCCGTCCCCTTGTGTGTTATGAAGGTTTTTCTGCATGTAACCGGTGTGCAGAGTCACAAACCCTCAAAGTACACCCTGTCTTCACCCAGAAAAGACCTGTCTATGCTGCCCCAGAACGCCTCGTTGGAAAAAAAAATGTTCTTGCTGGGTACAGTGACATGACCATACCCAAATGGACCCATTGGTCCAAATGGACCAATCCGTGGAGCTCCTCACACACACACACTCTCTCAGCGGCGAAACTGTGATGCGCTGGGGGTGGTGGTAGTGGAGTCTCGCAGCGACGCGCTTACACTGTAGGTGCGCCGCGTTTGGGGGTGCGGGTGCTAGTGGAGCCTCGCAGATGGGGGTGCTGCAGCCCCCTCAGCACCCCCCCTTCCCGCGTCCATGGTGCTCAGGCTGAGTTCAGGCTGAGTTTCGCGATGTCTCGCTGTCTCGCAGACCCCACGCAGCAACCAGGAAACGACACCAGTAATAGAGCTCACACTGTCCGCAACGTCCCGCCAACACGGCACCCAGACCCCACGCAGCATTCTCATCTGTTTGTCATTACTGGTGTCATTTTCTGGTTGCTAACGCCATTGTAACACATAATCACTGATGTTCCGCTGTAACGGTGGTGGACTCATCAGAACAGAGTGGGCGAGCTAACCAATCAGAGCATAGTGGGCTCATAGGGAGGGGGGGGGGCAGGAGCTCCAACAAGCCGTTTAGGACAGAGAGTGAATACACATACTATACAGAGATGCTGTATGAGAAACCAATGTGAGTTTGGAACATTGAACAATGTAAATCTATTCTAGTAGACCTCAACAATGGAATTATGATCAGTAGAAATGGCCATGACATGGGACCTTTAACATGAGCAGCTGGAAGTTGGAGTTGAAAGCCTGAGTTAAACTAAATTCAGCTTTTAGAGAGAAAGGTTATTACAGGTTCATTCTACAGGGGGTCAGGGGTGAAAGGGCTTACAGGGTGAGTCCACTCAAATCAGTAGTAGAAGGAAACGTCCATGCATAGAAAGCCAGGGTTGAGGTGAGGCATGCTTTAGAAAAGGAAGGGAGAGAGCACCATACCACAGGGCACGGGGCATCCAGCCCGTCCAGGCCAGGGGAGCCCGGTTCACCTTTCTCCCCTTTAAAGCCACGGAAACCCTGTTTGTGAAATCAACCATTTAAAGCCAGTTCTGCAGCTTCTGAGCAGCAGAGGGGGGGTCGCCCTCTGCTGCTCGACAGCGAGGAGATCTCCACTGCTGTCCACCGGCTGGACGCAGGTCTCCTGAGCATGCAGGAGACCTGGGACAGACAGGAACTGGGCTTAGTGAGAGGACTGACAGGATTTCAGGTTTAAATTGTGATGCTAATGTTTTAAATACAAAGTAAAGATAAGGTTTGATCGAGAGTTCTGATGCCAACCAGAACTCTACCAGGGTACAGATATTGTTTCAAGCTCTGTTTTGAATATTGCCCTAAAGAAGCCGTCGAGGTGGAGCAGCCATGTTCTCACGGTGCCACCTGGATGTCTTTCCGGTGTAAGGTCTGATAAATAGAAGACCCTGTGAGAGACCCTGTGGTCAGACCCAGTCACAGATACATGGCTGAAAAGGGGTAGATTCACGGGTCAGGTTGGGGTTATTTTCCAAAGTAACTTTCTTCTCTTTGCATTGCAAGTTTGACCCAACAGGTAGAAAACATAGAGCTAGCGGTTAACCAATTCAGGTACTGCATTAACCTGGCTCACTGTCACATCTGGTTCATTTAAAGTACCATTTGCACTTATTATGGCCGGATATAAAAGACATGGTTTGGCAGGGTTCAGAACTCCAACCTATCCTCTGTTCAGGGTTGCAGTGCACTTTAGTCTCTGTTGATCATCATCAGTGCCAGGTTCCTGTCTGTCTCATTCCTGGAAAAAAGATGTTCCTCAGGCAAAGCTGTAGTCCAAGTCATTTTCACCTGCAGGCTATAACCTCTAATGAAACTTTCTTAATGGATCAAAAGTCATCAGTTTCACCAACTTCAACAGTCCCATATCTCCCCATATCTCTGCCAGGCTCAGTGGACCCTTGGACCCAACGCTCCCTGAGGGGGGTTAGAACAGAGAAGACCAGAGGCAGAAGGAAGCTGACTTTGAACCTGAGGATCCATGTTGTACTCTGAGTCCTCCTTCCTTTTGCCTCTTGGTTACACATTGCACTACTGACATACCAACGGACAGGGGGCATCTAATCCAGGTGCTCCTTGGTCTCCCTTTTCCCCTTTGGCCCCCCTGTTGCCTTTCTTGCCCCTCTCTCCCTGCAAACAACAGCGTATTAAGAAAAACAAACTTTAGTCCTCCCTCATTAAGCCACACAGGAAGCAACGTTTTGTTCATCAGCTAAATACACGTTATTTATACAATATGAGAATAAAGTTATCCTAATCACATAATGAGTTTGTGTACTGCAATTTCCAAAAGACAGTATGACTTTGTAATGTAGATTTAGAGTAAAGGGAAGGTAAGTAGAGGGAGTTAGGGAGGGCAGTTGCTGAGCAGGTTTCAGCTTCTGTGGAGGACTATAAGAGCTTCAGTTAAAGTAGGTTCTGGAAGAAGTGAGAAGCCGTTACATGTACTCTGATATTTTCATCATGGGGAACATTCTGCTGGACAAAACATTGAATATAAAAATCAGGAAACGGATCATTGTCCAAAACTAACAGCTACAAGTAAATGACGGGCTGTGTTCGGTACCTTGCTGCTGCAGAAATACACATGGAACAATTCTATTTGACCCGCCTTTGCAAATTATATTAAAATATGATTATTTTAAAATAAAGTCAGAGATGAAAGTATGGGAATCCCTTCATAACATCTTACACAGCACAGTCCACACTAGATTGGTTTGACAGAGATCACTGCTGTTTGTGTTCTCTTTCATACAGTCCTGAAAACACAAGAAGCAGAGACAGCCTCACCTGAGAGCTCTGCAATATAATCATTCCTAATGCCACTGTTTTCTGTATATAGTTTTAATTGGACATATATTCCTTAAATTAGTTATACTCTTATACTAAAGCACAGACAAAGTGTTGTTATTTGTGCTAACCGTTTTTGCCAAATGCTGTCTATTCCTCCACCCATGTCTACAATTTAGAAGCCAATATTGTACTTTTACTCCTACATTTATTTAACACAATAAGTTACTAGTTACTTTACCTATTCAGATTATAAGCATATACAAAATATAGATCTACTAATATATACTATGCTTATAGCTCAAGATATCGAGCAGCAGTATACTGTATGAAGTAATTCAATTAGTTTTACATTTACCAGCTGTGATGAATCCAGTCATTTAAAATATATTTTCAAATGTGACATTACTGTCTAGACCTTTTCGTGTGCAGTCTTGCATTTCTTTAATTGAGTTGTTGTGACACTTTGGGAAATGATGACGCCCACTGCCTGTCCTTTTAGGAGTTTGCAAATAATGTCAGAACTACAAATACTGCCAATCAAGTATTATTTAATGTTTGGAATGCACTATTTAAAGGAGCAGTGTGTGGGAAATCTTACTTAGTTACATAGTGTACATACTGTAACTCTAACACTAAGAATGACCAGAAACATGCAGCATGTTTGGTAGCATAAGAATGTAGCAAACATATTGACTGTGATGGGAGAGCACTGCTTGCTAATTTGGGGGAAGGGGTCAGGGGTCAGGGGTGGGAGGGACTACAGAGAGGCTTGCAGGGAACAGGTACTGTTAGGTAGGAGGTGGAGGAGGAGAGAGGAGGTGTAAGAGGAGGAAGATTAAACCAGGACTACATTAGAATGCAGGAGGAGGAAGAGCAGGAGGCCAAGGTTTGTGAGAGGGAGAGAGGGCAACCCCGGCAAAAAAGAGCCACGGGCCACAGAGCAGGGTGGAGGGGAGGAAAGGGGAGAGGAAGACCTGCGGAAACAGAGGGAGATAGGACAAAGAGTAAAAACACCAACACCATCCCACAGCTTTTCTTCAACACGTTCAACTGGACTGTCACACTCAGCTCTGTTTAACTGCTGGTGGACATCAGAAATATGTATTTAGAGGCCAGTTGAATGTGCTGAGAGAGCTTATGATACGTGAAGTCTCACAGGATGGGAGTGTAAATATTAAAGAGTCACAGGTTAATGGGAAGGAAACAGAAACATTCTCTCAAAGGAGGGGTTGTGGACATTAGCAACATGGAGATGAAATACTCTTTTTACATATTATTTTGCAGGGTGCTTTTAATATTCAGTGCCAATTGAAGGTATTGTTCAATATTTTTGGAAATATGCTTATTTGCTTTATTTTTAAGAGTAAGAAGATGGATATAAATATCTTTCTGTTTCTAAGGTATACAGCTGCACTCAGGACGGTTTGTTTCAGGGAGCTGGGGTGAAGAGCAACATCAGCTGAAATTCAATAAAACGTATTCAAAAAACCTGGAGGTCATTCTCTGTGGAGCAAAAGCTTTCACAACACGGATCATACTGAAGGCCACTAAGCCATAACTTTAGCATTTTGTTTGACATGACAGAATAGATAAGTGGGAACTTTGTCCTGAAAGTCTGTGTGTGATCTGCCATTTGACCAATTCTGGTATTTATCGTTGGATTTTCTTGTAACATAGATTTACCACAAACAAATACTGGGGAGGTGCATCCAAAGATCTAACTGATCCATTGTTATGCAAACATTGGTTACAAATGTTTGAACGCACTGTCATGACACCTACTGTATATCCATCTCTCAATTTGAACTCCAAACGGAATTGTTAAATGTCAAATCCAACACATACAGGAGAAATGTGGAAGGTAAACAAAGCTGTTTCTAAGGACACTTTATTATTTATTATATTATTTATTACCAAATCATAGTATACATTTTCTTGATAAAAGAATAGTAATTTTTAAAAAGAATAATTATAATTTCATTATCATTTAATGTGTAAAAGTGCTGATAGTCAAATTGAAGCCACTGCATACAGATGTGCCTCAGAAGGGCAAACAAACATTTGGAAATAAATGATTCAGGATCAATAGAAAAATCAAAGCAAACGATCTGACTCAGGTGGCTTTCTTTTCATGCTGGATATCAAAGAGAATATCCAATGTATTCACATTTAGCTTGGTAATTCACTTCTCATGCTTGAGAGCGTCTTTGAAGTCACGACTGTGGTCAGCTGACCTCTCCACTGACCCGCTCCGACAACTGCAGGGTTTAATGTTGGGGGGGCAAATACCAGCCTGCTCTGTTTATTATGATGCATAAAGACTTTTATTTCATTGCTGAATATCATAAAGTAAATAAGCATTCGATTAAAACCAATGAAGTGATCTGTTTTGTATGTATTCCACAGATTCAATCTTATTCAAGAATAATCAACTATCTTCTATAACTAGCAAAATATTATATGTGGTATCTTACCCGGTTCCCTTTGAGTCCTTGTGGTCCTACTAAACCCTGCAAAAATAAAAGAGACATGACATTAGTGGCTGTGAGTATTTGCCACACATTGGGAAATATGCTTGCTTGCCATTGTTGGCCGTGTGAACAATGTGAAAAATGACACAGGAAAATACTGGTGGACCTTTTGCCGCGAGGCGATGTAAAGCCTGCAGGGCCAGATCAGTTTAATATTACAAACTGCACACAGAAGGATTTATAAACATTTTTTGGTTAATTAAATATATAAATTACTCTCTACTGAAAAGTCAATGTAAATGCACACAAACATAGTCATTGTAATGCAAACATACAAATAAAATCCACACATAAAAAAAACTTCAATCAAATATTTCTGATGCACACAGGCTCATTTTTTCTTTTATATAAATATAAAACAGATCTACAATTCAATGTTATAACAAGTCGTTTCAGAGAGTGTGTTCAATCTAGTTTCAGAGCGGCCCTGGAGGGGGGGGGGGGGTGGGGGGTTACCCCTCCAGCAGGCTCATTTACCCACATCCACCTTTCAAGGCTTTAGTTATGATATGTAACGATTATTTATACACTGCACACGTCATTTTCTTTTACAAACGGGGCAAAAAAGAGCAAGGAATCCTTTAATCGGTCAAGACTTTAACTGGCATTCTATTGGTTGAGGACTTTTGCAAGGGTTATGCATTATTATTACACTGATCCAAGAGCAGAGGAGAACTCTGGGAGCAGAAGTTTCAGATGCAGAGAAGCAACCTGACTGTGAGAGGAGCTGGAGCGCAGGGAAAACTGTGCAAGCAACAAGATATCTGACTGCTACAAGATGTCTGACTGCAGTGCTACCACAAGATGTCTGACTGCTACAAGATGTCTGACTGCAGTGCTATCACAATATGTCTGACTGCTACAATATGTCTGACTGCAGTGCTACCACAAGATGTCTGACTGCTACAAGATGTCTGACTGCAGTGCTACCACAATATGTCTGACTGCTACAAGATGTCTGACTGCTACAAGATGTCTGACTGCAGTGCTACCACAATATGTCTGACTGCTACAAGATGTCTGACTGCAGTGCTACCACAAGATGTCTGACTGCTACAAGATGTCTGACTGCAGTGGTACCATAAGATGTCTGACTGCTACAAGATGTCTGACTGCAGTGCTACCATAAGATGTCTGACTGCTACAAGATGTCTGACTGCAGTGCTACCACAAGATGTCTGACTGCTACAAGATGTCTGACTGCAGTGCTACCATAAGATGTCTGACTGCTACAAGATGTCTGACTGCAGTGCTACCACAAGATGTCTGACTGCTACAAGATGTCTGACTGCAGTGCTACCACAATATGTCTGACTGCTACAAGATGTCTGACTGCAGTGCTACCACAAGATGTCTGACTGCTACAAGATGTCTGACTGCAGTGCTACCATAAGATGTCTGACTGCTACAAGATGTCTGACTGCTACAAGATATCTGACTGCTACAAGATGTCTGACTGCAGTGCTACCACAATATGTCTGACTGCTACAAGATGTCTGACTGCAGTGCTACCACAAGATGTCTGACTGCTACAAGATGTCTGACTGCAGTGCTACCATAAGATGTCTGACTGCTACAAGATGTCTGACTCAACCTGGTCTCACCAGAATGCGTGACTCCACCACGACTCCTTAACACCGCATTGCGTGGTGGAGTCACGAACTTTGCTACATTTACGTGTCTGCACCACGCAAACAACCCCAATGTAAAGTGAATGAGGCTCCTTTGTCGTGGTGCACACACGCATTTCTACAACGTCCAGCAGTGAGCTTTTATTCTATAAAACGTTTTTAAAATCTACTTTATAGCTTGTAGTAACTCACAGGAGGCTTCTTTTATTTTATTTGTATTCATAATAATTTTTTTTTCCCGTCAGAATGTATTATGGTGCATTATTCACCAATGTTTGTTCTCAAAAAACAATGCATTGTGTGTAATACAACTGTGATTTTTATTAAATTAGTTCGTTTTTAAGGAAGGCCAGAGCTTCAGCTGTGTCAAAGAGATTGTTCCCTTTAGTTAACGTTATTTAAAAGATAATTATATTCCTATTTGATCAAGTACCCTTTATTGTATTACGGACCCAAAGAGCTGAGCGTCCATTCCCATTGGATAACGGAGCATTTTACACCCGGAAGTAAGTATTCTCCTTACTGTCCATTGATTTTATTTACAGTGATATCTGCACTACTCATCAACTCAAAAACACCAGATTATCCTTGTTAATTACACAACATTGATTGGTTTAAATTGTGTACAATGCTTTTGTATTTTCCCCTTTCGATTCGGAGAAACAAATATTTGTTCGTAGTGTGTGGATGGCTGAAGACACTACACTACCCAGAATCCTCAGCTATGGGACTACACCATGTGCTTAGAACGTGTCCTACCCCCCCCCCCCCCCCCTTAGGTCACAGGCTCCTCCAACAGTGCAACACAATAAAACAGATAGGCTACACAGAACAAACAGTGCAAGTAAATACAAAAAGAAAAATAGTAAAATAGTAAAAAGTGAACTAGTGCAATACGAGTCTATATACAAGTGATTGGAATATGATATATTAGATAAATAATTTCTAAGTAGCAGCCAGATGAATGTTATGGATGTTGTTTCTAAGTTCAGGTGTTTAATAGTCTTCTGGCCTGTGGGATGAAACTGTCCCTGAGTCTGGTGGTTTTAGTCCGGATGCTGCGGTACCGCCTGCCAGACGGCAGCAGACAGAACAGTTTGTGGGGTGATGGGGGTCTTTTTTAATCCTGAGGGCTTTCTTTAAGGTTAACCTGTTATTTTTACTCCACTACATTTATTTTAGTTACTTTACAGATTTGGATTAATGATGTGAAATATAAACAACCCTTAAATCAGACTTTAGTTACACCTGAGTAAAATTCAGTGAATTCAGCCAACAATCAGGCGAGATATTTGGTAGTGGGTGCTTGAGAAGACTAAATATTTATCTGCAGATCCCTATAAAGCATATTCATTACTCGTTATTCTCTACTAATAGTTAATTAAAAACTGTATATAATGGCTATTTTGCACATCCCTTTCAAGATTTCAAGATTTTCTAAGGTTTATTGACATATCATATACACAACTACGGTGTAGTTATGCAATGAATGAAACACTTGGGTCACAGGTTCATCAACAGTGCATCACAAGACATCTATCGATATCTGTGTACCTCCACCATTAAACATATTCTGCACATTTCTTATACTATCTACATACATCTTATAAGAGTATAATTAATATGTATAATATCAGTTAAAATAAGTGCTTCAACATAGTTAACATTGAAGGAAAGTTGATTGTCAAGTTCCAAAACAAACCATGCAATATATTAGACGTTAAGTACTTTGTCAGGCTTAATATCTGTAGATACCCCCAAAGCTTTTTTCTTATTTAAAAGAAGACCTTAACCTAAAGTATTCTTTAATGTTTAAATAAAGCCTTATTAGTTTGTCTGTTTTGCACATCCTCCTATCAGGCACTAAACTGTTTTATTGTAAAGATCACTTACAGTATCTTCTTGATATTTTCTATTCTATATTATTTATATCATTGACCTTCCACTTTCCCACTATATTAAGAGTATGTACTCTTAATATTTAAATGTTTTCATCAGATATAACACATTCAAAAGTGCTTTACAAAAATGAAAGACATTAAGAAAAAGGCATTTTAAAACAGTCATTAAAAAGCAACACAATCTACCTGCATTGCATTACTCTAAACGTGTAATAACGTGCTTTAACCAGTAGGAGGTGCGGGTTAAAAAGCTGTCAAGTTTACAGTGTTAACAAAATAAAATATACTGCTGTTTCTGGTTTAGTTTACGACGGATATATTCTGTTATTGTTTTGATATTTGTAACACAAAAGCGATGTAAAAAACCCACAGCAACACAGAAAAGATGGTCTTAACATGACCCAGCGGTCTAGTAGTTAATAAAAAACAATAATATCAAAACAAATACTCACTTTATTGTGAAATTAAAATAGAACGGTAAAAGAATAGTTTCCGGTCTATTCTGAGGCCCGAGCTCTGTAGATAAATAAAGAACTACGACAGATGTGTAATGTTTAATGCAGCCAAACCATTCATTACAATGCATTCATGTGATGACTTTCAAAGAGTAAAGCAAGCACTGCTGAATAAAGTATGGTTTGATCTTTTACGAAACGTTTTTTTCATTGGAATGCAGTTGGAGGTCAACCAATCACAGAGCTTGAGGCAAAGCGGAACAATAGCTGAGGATTCTGGGTAGTGTAGTGTCTTCTACCATCCACACACTCCGAAAACATATTTGTTTCTCCGAATCGAAAGGGGAAAATACAAAAGCATTGTACACAATTTAAACCAATCAATGTTGTGTAATTAACAAGGATAATCTGGTGTTTTTGAGTTGATGAGTAGTGCAGATATCACTGTAAATAAAATCAATGGACAGTAAGGAGAATACTTACTTCCGGGTGTAAAATGCTCCGTTATCCAATGGGAATGGACACTCAGCTCTTTGGGTCCGTAATACAATAAAGGGTACTTGATCAAATAGGAATATAATTATCTTTTAAATAACGTTAACTAAAGGGAACAATCTCTTTGACACAGCTGAAGCTCTGGCCTTCCTTAAAAACGAACTAATTTAATAAAAATCACAGTTGTATTACACACAATGCATTGTTTTTTGAGAACAAACATTGGTGAATAATGCACCATAATACATTCTGACGAAAAAAAAAAATTATTATGAATACAAATAAAATGAAAGAAGCCTCCTGTGAGTTACTACAAGCTATAAAGTAGATTTTAAAAACGTTTTATAGAATAAAAGCTCACTGCTGGACGTTGTAGAAATGCGTGTGTGCACCACGACAAAGGAGCCTCATTCACTTTACATTGGGGTTGTTTGCGTGGTGCAGACACGTAAATGTAGCAAAGTTCGTGACTCCACCACGCAATGCGGTGTTAAGGAGTCGTGGTGGAGTCACGCATTCTGGTGAGACCAGGTTGGTCTGACTGCAGTGCTACCATAAGATGTCTGACTGCTACAAGATGTCTGACTGCAGTGCTACCACAAGATGTCTGACTGCTACAAGATGTCTGACTGCAGTGCTACCACAAGATGTCTGACTGCTACAAAATGTCTGACTGCAGTGCTACCATAAGATGTCTGACTGCTACAAGATGTCTGACTGCAGTGCTACCACAAGATGTCTGACTGCTACAAGATGTCTGACTGCAGTGCTACCACAATATGTCTGACTGCTACAAGATGTCTGACTGCAGTGCTACCACAAGATGTCTGACTGCTACAAGATGTCTGACTGCAGTGCTACCATAAGATGTCTGACTGCTACAAGATGTCTGACTGCAGTGCTACCACAAGATGTCTGACTGCTACAAGATGTCTGACTGCAGTGCTACCACAAGATGTCTGACTGCAGTGCTACCACAAGATGTCTGACTGCAGTGCTACCACAAGATGTCTGACTGCTACAAGATGTCTGACTGCAGTGCTACTGCTACCACAAGATGTCTGACTGCAGTGCTACTGCTACCACAAGATGTCTGACTGCAAGCAGGATAAGGTTTCACCCTGCTTAGCCTCCCACCATATGTTTGCCTCTATGTGCAAGCATTCTCAGTATATTTATTGTTTAAAGAAAAATATGATGTAAGACATGAAAGGAAAACAAATATATCCCGCATCTCAAAGTGAATTTTAAATTGTTAGAACTCTTAGGGAGATTGTGGTATAGCAATAACTAGAGAAACAAAGGCTGTTGTCATGGTCTCCAGCAGGTGAATGTTTTTGGCTGGTTGTTTTGGGTTGATGGTTTGAGCAAGATGCTTCCAATGAGCAAAGAGATGCTCGCCGCTGTGATCAACTTTTTTAAAGTAATTTCAGACTTACAGGGATGCCTTGAGGCCCGATTGGTCCTGGCAATCCTGCATCTCCCTTTTCAGCCTGAAGTGATGAGAACAAAACCAAAGCATATCATTTCCTATAACTGTATTTATTTAAAAATATATTCATGTGAGAAACACACCAAAGATACTCACTCTCTCTCCCTTTGGTCCTGCGGGTCCTGAAACACCTGCTGGTCCTATTAGACCCTTTAAAACAGAACATGGGAAATATATACATGTTAGCAGAAACACATATAATAGTACCAGGAAAATATCATCACTAAATGTCTCATGTCAGTAAATCAACAAGCTTTGGTGTCAATTAAAAGATGGACCATTTGGATGAAGGATATTTTCAAAAAAGGTTAGGACACTTTTCTGTCCTGACACCTGTAGCATTTACACACCAAGCTTGTTGAAGTACTGACCAAACTGCTGTTACAATCAGGGGAAATGAATGAAATGTGAACAGCTGCATCTGTCGAAGCAGCGTCAGGCTGGGAGAGGAAGACCCTGCATCTCAGGCATATCCACGTACACTAAGTACAGCTGTCCAGATTCACTGAAGACATGTCAACATGCAGCATCTCTGCATGCTCCTTCTGGATCGGTTCTTAATGGCAGTGTGCAGCCCAGCTGAAACAGGATCTGAGGCCGGACTGAGGACTGAGGGTACACTGACATGATGTCTGGTATCAGACAACACGAAAACACTGGTGAAGATACCTACTGATTATAGGGATTTTCCCGTAGCGCTCTAATAAAAAAAAATCTCTAGTTCAGTCATATTTCTGTCTTACTGTATTCATAAAAAGCATTTTCTTTAAAAGTTAGTATTTAGAACTTGAAATAAAAGATCAGAGGAGGGAAGTAACTGAATAGATTTAAGTGAGTACTGCAATTCAGTAGAATTTTGAGGTACTTGTACTTTACTTGAGTACTTCCATGTTATGCTACTTTATACTTCTACTCCACTACAATTAAAAGGGAAATAATGTTATTTTACTCAACTACAGCTTTAGCTACTTTTAACAAAATGCATCTCTAAAATTAAACTAGTGGACTAACTCTTAAAGTCACAAAAGATTCAAATAATTTAAATATTTTACAAGAATTAAATCAGAACTGTGTCTACTTGATGCAACAACATTTTCTAGAAATGTCACATAATGTATTGGTAAAGTAAGTAAAGCATCTGGATACTCCTTCCACCTCTATAGAAGATACCCGATCAGATTTATGTGCACATTTCTTCGCTGCCTACCTTATGGGCTAATGTCCATTCTTCCACTGTCGGATGAATAAAGGATTTCTGATTCTGATTCAGAGAGTGAGGGTGGCATCATGCTCATTGAACCACTGGAAGGCTTTAATGTGGAACATCTGCGTGGGAAGAGTTGCAGTTTGGAGTTGCCTTGTTTCTCTGAACAAACAGTCTCATGCCAGTGCATCCTCAGAACCCCCCCTGAACAGCCCGTCCTCAGAGACACATCAGGAAGGAAAAGAGACGAGACAAGCATGGGAAGCAGGAGAGCGAGCGGACAGACGAGCAGACATGGCAGACACAAGCAAGCTGTAGCAGGGGGTGGAGGAGGAGGAAGAGAAGGAAGAAGGGTGGGGGGCCGGAACCGGACTTGCGCCACTCACCACTGGACCAGGTCTGCCGTCTAACCCATGAGCCCCCTGTATAGCGCCGTACACAGTTAGAGAGCAGAGGTGATGGGGGAGATGGTGGGAGGAAGGTGGGGGTAGGGGGGTGGGGATGGGAAGGTGAGTGAAGCTGTGACTCAGGTGACATCAAAAACACATTCAGATGATGACAAATGAAGGGTGGTGGAGGTGGTGGGGGTGAAGGTGAAGTGAGTAACAGTAATGTGAGTCATGTCTTCCACACTGACAAAAGTCAAACGTTGACTTATAAAATATTAGGTTCAACTTAAAGTTATTGCTTTCAACTGACCTAATACAGGTATTGGAAATCTGTTGACATAATACATTTAATTGAAGTTTCACTTTGTTCAGAGCACGGATGATGTTGGATCTGCGGCCCATAGGTTCCTACTGAAACACCTCACAACGGTTTCATGTCTTTAATCAAAACATTTCCTCTAGCAAGTTTCTGCTAATTAGCTAGTAGTAGTGGAATGTACTGTAACTAAGTACATTTATTCAAGTACTGCTCAAATATAGTTTTGGGCAACTTGTACTTTACTTGAATATTTCCCTTTACGCTACTTTATATTTCAGCTTCATAACTTCTCAAAAGGAATTATTGTGCTTTATAACCCACTACATTTATTGAGTTGATTTATTTAGTTACTTAGGTACTTTTTACATTAATAACAACTTTTGTTTATATGGTATATATATACAACTAATCTACTCAGTAGTACACATAGTATCCGACATTTGCCCCACGATGACAGCATTATAAAACTCTAACATTTTCTAATAATAATAACAAAATATTCTATAATAATAAAAACCCACCCTGCACAATCAGTACTTCTACTTTTGATACTTGAGTACGATTATGTTAAAAAACGCAAATACTTTTACTTAAAGGTAGGGTAGGTAAGTTTGAGAAACCGGCTCGAGATACACTTTTTGTTATATTCCATGGAATGCTCTTAACATCCCGATAGCAATGAATATCTTAAGTGCTTTGACAAAAAATCCATAAAAAAATGTAATCTGTGGAAGCCGTAATACTGTAAAAAGCACGACCAATCATTTTAGCCGGCCCGGCTAAAATAACTGGATGGCCTACCTGCCTGTCAGCCTTCCATCTGTGCACAAACTTATCTCGTGCCCTCATTGGTCATGTGCGCGTTCGTGTGTGTTGGAGGAGGGGCTCTATAAGGAAGTGGCAGATTTTCTCCGGTTGTGTATTTTCAAAATCTAGCGATCTCGAGCCGGTTTCTCAAACTTACCTACCCCACCTTTAAGTAACATTTATAACTGTAATGGAGTATTATTTAAAGCGTGTTATTAGAACTTTGACTTAAGTAAAGGATATGACTACTTTCTCCACATCTGTTGGCTAGTCATTTCAGCTAGTCCCTAATGATACTCAGACAGGAGGAAACTCTGCATTGTGTGGGTCAGGTTTTAGTTCCCCCCCCCCGAAAATCTATTGTGTTCTTTACTTTTTGTTGTATTTTTCTGTTCAATGATGTGACACTTATTGCTATCACAACCACATCATTCATATTTGGTCCCTCCGAGTGGACGTGGACATGGACGATACAGACAGTATGCAGTCTATAAAGGATTCCTGAATGTGAGTGTAAACAAAGAATACGAATAGAAACCCAAAGTGATAGACAGCATTTTAAAGAGTATAAAAGAAAAAGTATTTTAAAATAATTTTGAATAAAAAAGTAAAATAAAAGCAATAACATGTATATGGAGTTTTATGTTGATTATTTACTTCTTTGGAAACAATCTGCACCCCCATGCAACATTTGAACAGGGTTAAGACGACATAGAAGCAGACATCTGAGACATGAATCTGGTCAGTAACAAATGCATAAACTACGGTTAAAAACGTAAGGCTTTGTAAGGTTAACACTGAGTAATGCTCACATTTCTGTACTGATGCAGTGATATCATCTCTAAAATACTCAACATTGCATTCAAATGTTTAAATTTTTTTTTATATAACATGTAAAAAATGGAAGTCAAGGATTTCCGAGACTTATGAACAGACAGGAAGTACAGAGTACTTACAGGAAGTCCGAGATGGCCTCTGTCCCCCTTGTCGCCCTTGAGACCCGTCGCTCCCTTTTCTCCTCTGATGCCTATGCCTAGCTCCCCCTGAGAGAAAGCACATGGTACAGTCCAATCATTACTCTCCCATGCTCTGAATGGCTACGGTACGATGTAAATGGAGGCAGATTGAATATAATGAGCAGCTGTTACATATGAGTTTATAGGAACAACATCTCACCTTAGGCCCTGAGAATCCTTGAGTTCCCTGGATGGAACAAAAGCAGCAGCATTACTGACAGTCTGTTTCTCAGCCAGTGTCTGTGCACACCATTTCTATTGAATTATCCTATTTTATTTCATTGTTTTTTTGCAGTTAAGTTTCAGGAGGGAATGACATGTTTGACTCACGGCTGGCCCCACTGGTCCTGGGGGTCCGGCGGGCCCTGGAGGACAATACATCTACAGACACACACACAAGCAACATTTAGTGTTGTAATTCACCATGAGGAGCACTAATCACACCTGACTGAATGACTGACCCTTACCATCTCTGACCTGGCTCCTTCTCCAGGCTCTCCTTTAGGACCCTGTGTGGTGAGAGACACAGCAGTCATCACTCTGCTCATATATTCCCTGGTCAGATAAACAATACGTGAACACTCAGCAGCAATGGGGTGAATACGAAACATTTAAACGGTTCCCCCCTTGCCAGGTCAGACTCTGCATCCAGCAAGATGCAGGCTGAGGGCCCACTGCGTACCATTGAGCCAGGTAATCCAATGGGGCCAAGGGCCCCTCTGGCCCCCTTTTCACCCGTAGGGCCATCTAAACCCTACAGAACAAGAAAAGGGAAATGGACATCACGATGACAGCAGATGCCTTTACCTGCACTGTATGGTCTAATGACATGCTCTTCAGTTTCATCCAGAGTTTCATTCTTTCAACAGTTTGAAGTACTTTCTTACTCAAGTTTTTTCATTGTTATGCTAATGCAGGGGTCTGCAACCCGCGGCTCTCGAGCCGCATGCAGCTCTTTAAGCCCTCTGCTCTGGCTCCCTTGAGCTTAGACAAAAATAAGAAGGAAATAAAATAAATATATTTGTAGGACTATTTATATTTTGTTGCACGGTTGAAAATGTTTCGTATCTTGTATTTTGAAGTGATACTGTGAAACATACATTTAAAAAAACAAAACGGTTTTAATTAGGTCAACTAAAATATGCGTCACATCCTGCTACGGTCCCGCGCCAGCGCCTTTTCTTGAGGCGAATAACCTGACCCCCGGCTCGATGAGCGAACTATGGATAAATCATAGAAAATAAAAGTATGGGAGGAACACAGAGGGTTTAATTCTGCGTGGACAGAGTTATCTGCTTTCACAGCAAACGATGCTGGCTTACCGGTATGTTTGATATGTGGAGAGAAGTTGTCAAAGGTGCTGTAGCCTTTACGCATTGGAGGAGAAACACGGAAGAGGAAGACAGCTGACGATCTTCAGTCATAATTCAATCAGTTAACTCTTTTTAGGGTGCAGCTATATGTTTTATTTATTTCAAAGTGGGCCCATTTGAATTATATTAATTTTCTTCAAATGTGCAGAGGACTCCCCAAGTGCTGTGTTGATTTATTTTAAAGTAGGCCTGTGTATTTTTTTTTAATTCTCCTTATAAGAGTTCTTGGTACCACTTTACAATAAGACATACCCTTATAAAGGGTTTACGAATAGTTTGTGAGTCATTTATTAATTAGGTTGTGAACACTTTATAAATCATTAATAAGCTTTTATAAGACATGAGATAAACAGGGCAACTGTGACCGGTTGCTTGCCAAATAGTGAGCCCACATTTATCTGTACTGCTAAGCCTTATATTGGCTACCTAGCTTACTTCGTCTTCTTCATCAGTCAGCATCCTTGGTATCTGTTGTTCACTGAGTTGATTCCCCCCCTTCCATCTTGATGTTTCTTGACCATTTATGAATGAGTTACTAACATTTATAATTGGTAAAAGGGAGCCTTATTGTAAAGTGTGAAACACATCACCATTTATTAATGAGTCACTACCATTTATAACTACTGAAAGGGTGCGTTGTTTTTAAGTTTAATACACATGTCCATTTATGAATGGGTTATAACATTCACGCTTACCTAATACACATTTTTCACATGAAATGCAAAGTAAGATGCAACAGAACCAAGCAAAACATTTTATTCGCACATGAAGAAAATCAGGACTCAAAATAATGACTATTTAGTACTGTATGACTGATACACATATTTAAACATAAAAGCTTTTCTCAGACATAAATGAAAGACTTGGTAAGACATAATGGTACTCAGACTGGAAAGGCTTTGTGTATATCCTTGAACAAGCGTCCAAGCAGTCCATCAGGATGAGCAGAGCCAAGCCAAGATGACCATTCAAGAACCTTGAGGTGTTCCTCCAACAAACTCTCTGTACGGTTTCCTCTCAGTCTACGGACATGTCCTTTGACGGTCGACCAAGCTCTTTCATTATGTTGGGTATGACTGCCAGTCTGGGGGTTCACCAACCACCTTCTGTGGTTTATGGTGTAGTGGTTGGACCCCATGTTACTCAGCCCTCTCCTGTATGCCCTCCACTCATCACTAATAATGCTACTTCCTGACTTAACATGCCGTCTAATCAGAGGGACAAGGTGGCGTCTTGATCGTTTCTCCATTAGTTTCAACACTAGTCTCCGCTTTTGTCTTTAACTCCCATCATTCCGAAGACCCATTTCTTCCTTCTCCAGGTACGTCCAAAGCGTCCACGTGCATACTAACAAAAAATAAATCATAACATCATCATAGTTAAAAAAAAAAAATGCCATACTTGTTTATTAGGTGCACTGTATAACATAAGTTAAGGATAATTATACAGTAATGGTCCATATTGATTTAAAAAAAAAAGAAAAAGTATTCTCTTATACAAAAAAGCCCATCTCTAACTGCCGAACATAGGAATACTCAAATAAAATAGTTTACTATTTATTTGATACCAATTTGGTAATACAATTAATAAAAAGAACAAGGTTTGTGTTCGTTCTTCAGATATGACTGTGACGTTAACGTGTAAGCTCAATAATGAACTCCAGCTCAACCAACCATATTGTAATATCTAAGTAATCATCTTGAGAAATTACATTAATATTTGTAATATACACACATCTTATTGTGAGGTTAATTTCACATACACTACGCCACTCTTCAACACTACTTTGACGTTAGCTTGTCTACATAATCGATCATAGCTAATTTAAAGGGCCCATGTCATGGCCATTTCCACTGATCATAATTCCATTGTTGACTACTAGAATAGATTTATACTGTGCATTTTTCCAAACTCACATTGGTTTCTCATACAGCATCTCTGTAAACTACGTGTATTCACTGAATTTCACTCTCTGCCTTTAACGGCTGGTTGTAGCTTATGACCGTATCGCGTCATAGCTCTGGGCGTGGCTACTGGGTATCCAGACGTCACGATGCCCAGGAAGAACATGAGAAATCTCCAACGAGGCGTTTTGGGGAGGTCTGTGTTAGAGTTTTACTCGCTACAGGGTGTACTTTAAGGGTTTTTGACTCTGCAGACCGTTTACATGCATAAAAACCTTCATAACACACAAGGGGACGGGTAATAACCGGAAAAGCATGACATGGGCCCTTTAAATGAACCTTAGCGATGCATAAAGTTACCTACCTAATAAAGTATCTCTCTAACTTACAAGGATTAACTTATTTTTACCAACCTCAAACAGAAGCCGTTTGTTCTACAGTATTATCCCACTTAATGCTTAACACTTCTCTATTACGTTTTAACTTGGAGGCTACGATTAGCATTGTTAGCACAGATGAAGCTACCACTTGCTTACTACATGCTAACCCAAGCCTTAACATTCATTAACGTTAGCTGACTAAAAACATAAGCAACACATAAATAAAGTCCTCGAATTTCACTTACCGTAAAACTGCATTCATGCACCGTCTGTTTTAAACGCGGAGCGAGTCACAATAGTGCGATGTAAGCATGAAGAATAGTCCACAAGGCACCAGCACAACAAACATGGCAGAGTTCAAGTTATGTTCCCTGGATGAGTTGAGCAGGCAGAGTCCCTGTAGCATCACAGAGCTGCTAGCAGAGCATAAAGCTAACAGCAGCAGTACCTGGAATGACCTGTCACTCAATGTGACCACGCCCTCATTTATGCATAACTTTAAGGCTTAATATAACTTAAACAAATTATAAATGGTAGTAACTCATTAATAAATGGTGATTTGTTTAACACTTTACAATACAAATTATAAATTATAAATGGTAGTAACTCATTCATAAATGGTGATTTGTTTAACACTTTACAGGGCTCCCTTTTGGCAGTTATAAATGTTAGTAACTCATAAATAAATGGTCATAAAAAGATGCCAAGAAACATCAAGATGGAAGGGGGGGGGAATCCACTCAGTGAACAACAGATACCAAGGATGCTGGCTGATGAAGAAGATGAAGTAAGCTAGGTAGCCAATATAAGGCTTAGTCATCTTGCCAAATAGTGAGCCTGTGTTGATGTATGAAAACTATGTTAGAACTGGTTTATAAATGGTTCTTAATGATTAATAAAGTGTTTGCAACCTAATTCATAACTTAATTATAAACCCTTTATGAATCCTTTATAAGGGTAGTCTTATTGTAAAGTGGTACCCAATATATACAACGTTATAAGCAATCAATCTATCAAATATGTTTTGCGGCTCCAGACAAAAAAAATGGGTGGAAAAGGGGGGAAAATTGCTCTTTTGGTCAAAAAGGTTGATTTTTCTTTGTTACATATAAGTCATATTTTCACCAAAAACATTTGATGAAATCATATCACATTACAAACTATTTTTAATAGTATAGGGGGCTTAAAATCAAAATGACAATGCTACTAACAAATGGATTCGTTTCTTTTACATATTATATACAAAATGAGGGGCTGGTATGACACATTTTATTTTTTAACCTGTTAAGCCCTGATCCTGTTTTTCAGGTCTCAGGCTCGAAAATGACATTCGCAGAACAAATGACCATATCTTCCCTTCTAAAAGGGTTAAATTAATCATCTTTTTTCTCAAAGTAATGATAAACCTGTGAGTTGGATGTAGAAAAGTCAGAATCAATATAGATGTTTTTTATTTTAAAGAAAATTCAGATTTTACATAGTAAAAAACTGTAAATTATAGTGTCCGTCCAAAAATTATTTTTTACTTATAGTGAAAACCACCCTTGGATGATGAGTCAGTAGACTAAAAGCTTTAGGAATCCAAAGTACAACATATAATAAGTACCCTGTATCAAGATTGATGCGAAACAAGTGACATTTGACCTTTTTAGAGAGATTTAGCAAAAAGAAACCACTTCTGGGGTCATTAGGGTGGATTTTCCATATCTCTGGCCCCCCTTGCTCGATTTTGATGGTTGACACCTCTTTCTGACCGTTAGAGCCAATAGAATCGAAGGGGGAGTCCCCCACACACACACGTTGTGAAGAGAAAAGGTGGGGGCTTCGCGCATGTAATTTTCAATCAGAGTGAACCTATCTCTAGCTTTGACATCTGGAAACGGAAAAGCAGTTTTAATGCTTATGGATTATCAGAAATCATTTCAAAGGGACACAGACACATTAGATGAACCTATGGATTAACTTCAGCAGCGTTTTTTATCATTTTAATGCCATTGAAGACCACTTTGGAGAGACTACAGAGCCAAGGTAAAAATGTTAGCATTTTTAGCTACCTAGCGTCACCTGTTTTGATGTCCGTTTTTGCTTATAACGTCGCAAATACATATAATTCAGTGGTAATGTCGGTGTCAATAGATTCTGTGTCACCTCACGATGTGAATCGATGTGTTGGATGTGGTGAAAAGATAAATAATAAGGTTTTGTGAGTGATCTTCGGTGCAGTAAGGTGTTAGCATTTTTCGCTCGTTGCTAATTCAGAGGCTCAGTGTTAGCATTGTGGGTTTTCTTTTGAAAAAATAAATAAAAATGATCAGTTAGATGAGTTTCTTCTCGTTACATGGATATAAAACATTCATAGTTTTATTAAATGAACATGCCCTCAGACACTGTTTCCTGCAAGATGTTGCGGCAGTGCCCCGGTACCGGGGTCTCTCGGGCTTAACAGGTTAAAGCACATATAACATATTTAAAGTACATTTTGCTTACGTTTATTTGTATTATTATTATGTTTCTGAATGTGGATTTTATTTGCAATTAAGCCTTTTTAAATGGTTGCATTAGTACTTTTACTTAAGTAAAGGTGTTGTCTTTCCATTACTGACCACTGCACATTGTCCTTCACATATTCCCATAAAACAGGGGGGCCATACAGCCCGTTGCAGACCGCCAGCAGCATAGGGACTGTCCAGGTTCAGAATAAGGTGGGATCGGATGGAAGACAGTTTATACAAAGGCATTTTCTATTCAGGGTCTGAGTGGTGTGAGGGCCGATTTATTTCAATGATTTGTTCTTGTTTTCTTTTCTTATTCACTCATCCCTTTACATCAAAAATAATCATAAACAAACAAAGCAAGATATAAATACCAACAATGTAAATATCTCACACGGTAAGAGGTCTAAGCTGATTGAAAATAAATGTAATGCTGCTGAATTAACCCAATGAGTGGTCTCAATGCATTGTTTTTTAAGGGGAATATTAGTTAACAAAATCTGTTTATAGATAAAGTATTTATTGTTGTTGTTGTTGACTAATATAATTATATTTGTTGTAGAATTATCTCCTTTCACATGAATGAGTTGGTTTGATTTAATTAGGTGAATCTTGGAAATGATGAGCAAGTAGAACTTAAAGGGTTAGGTTGAGGAAGGATACAACTAGTATTATGTATTGCACACAGAATCAAATAAATAAGCATTGTTTTGAAGTATCATTCATCTAAAACATTTTCGTCAGTTGTAATTGTTAAATTAATTAAAGTACACTTAGAATAAACAGTAGGTGTGAGTTACAGTACACCTACTCACAATACTAAGTTTACTCAACCTAATTATTGTGAGGACATGAGTTTGCCAACTTATTAAATGTTACAGTGTACCTGTCAAACATTCAGAACAGGATAACACAGGGAATAGACATCCCAAACATATACTGTATTGGAGGCCACACCATCCAAACCCTACACGTACAGAAGGACTCCCTCAAAGGAACACCAGCCTACAAATAGCATAGCCCTTAATATGGGGCACATTTGGGATCAATGCCACAGTGAATTAAAAGATAAACGCAGTGTCATCGGTCGGCCCCTTCCAAGATAGTGAGTCTCTAATTAGAAAACCACAGCCTTCCATCTGGCTAACGACAGATGTGGGGTTGGGCTTTGGTCGGGAACCTCGGGCAGTGAGTGATGGGGGGGGGGGTTAACACAGGCACTCACAGGTGATCCAGATAGACCCATGTCTCCCTTGTCTGCTTTGGGTCCCGGGAAGCCCATGACACCGCTCTCCCCTCTGGGCCCTTCATGACCGGCTGGGCCTGCAGGACCAGTATCTCCAGGCTTCCCTCTGGGTCCCTGAAACACAAACCCACTTAATGAGCCTGAAGGAATCCACGTGAAAACAGACATCCTTTACAGACATTTCCAAACGGGAGCATGATTCACCCTCTCCATGTGTCATCACAGCTGATGAATTTAACAACATGTGATCACCATTGTGTCACTATTCAACTGTTTGGTATTACCTTATCTCCGTCCACACCTGGAGCACCCGGCAGACCAACTTCCCCCTGAGGAAACACCAAGGCTTTATTACCCACAAGGCAAAGCAAGCAACTGTTTTTTTTAAATACACCTGATTCAATAAACTGACATCAAAAACCAGGGACCAGTTATCCTTAATTGGTTTATAGGGGCCAACAAGATTTGCCCCAGAGCCTCCTACCAGAATTATCCTCTGATGATAAAACTAAATGATTAATTAAATGTCCTACCTTGTTTCCAGAGGGGCCTGAAGGTCCAGGTAATCCAGGGGGGCCCTAAGAGGAGGATACATGTTGTCATTCAAAAGGATCTTTTCTACTGTACTGTGTCTGCACATGTCATGAAAATGCTTTGAAGTTCTTACCATCAGAGGTATGTTGCGAATATCCTGTGGAGGAATACAATTTGTTGATTTATTATTTGTCTTTATTTGATTCTACACGTTTTATACATGTAAGTTAAGTGAAATATAATATGAGTTACATACATTTTCATTGTTGTGGATTTCAGCCTTTCCTGGCTCCCCAGTTGGACCTGGAAGACCCTATAAGGAGAGAAAGACAATAACCATTAACATTTTGATTAGAAAATTAATATTTTATGTACTATGTATCGATATATGGGTTGACTTACTCTTGGTCCAACTGAGCCTTCAGGTCCTGCTTCCCCCTAGAGGTTAAGGTATGACACTTAGACCCTCCATCCACAGTCTCAGCTTGTGATAGTATTTTAAATTCTGATGCTGTTGTCTTACCTTGTCTCCCTTGTTGCCTGTGTCACCCTGGAAGAGGAATATATATTGTGACTTCCAAGGGCAGTAGATTTGTTGTATTATCAGTGCTAATTAATAACCTATGATTGGCACCCAGTGCCAAACGGTTTCCCTTTACCTTGGGTCCCAGCTGGCCTGGTAGTCCTGGGGAACCCGGTTCTCCTTTAATTCCCGTGGCAGCAATGCTTGGCTCTCCCTTGTCCCCCTGCCGTACATAGAGAACAAAGTCTTGGCTGAACACAGAACCCTTATTACCATCAACCCAATCTCCGGGTCCATCGTCAGTCTGACATGCGTTTAGCCTCTGGGGGCTTCAAATATTATCTCTGGGTTTCCAGGGAAACCAGCAGATATCCAGGCCAGGAGTTCCTCTTCTGTGTGAGCTCATAGTTACAGTTGGGGTTAAGAGAATATGTCATGCCAATTAGCCAATAAGCCAAATTGATAAAAAGTTGTAAAAGCTACAGTAGGTGGGCTCTGAGATTGCATTCTGGCATTTGTTGCGCTCCACACAGTTTAGCTGCATGCAACCAAAGCCCCCTTAAAGGTACTTGGTAAATACTACAAATACTGTTCATAGATTAGAATGCTTACCGAAAAGACATTAAAAAACTATTTGACTGGTAATTAATGTCCATTTAAATTCTCTCAATCCTGTACTGTTTTATTATCATTTTTAATTGGCCAGTTAATTATATATTTGTGTCAATATTACTTTTACTCAAAACTTCACATTTCCATTACAAAACCCCTTATGGGACACTTAAAATGGGATCCCCAAATCAAGCTGAATTCCAAATCTCCAAAGCGAGTTAGTGAGATAGTTAGTGGATTTGAGTTGAGATTATAATTCACAACACATCCAAGACAATACATTGATTCATACTGAATCATATGATAATGTGTAGCATCCAGTGACAGATGACTGACAAATATGATAAGGTCAACAATAGAGTTAGTTATGTGAATTATACCATCCTTAAAAAGACCAAAGAACTCCACGTAATGGCAAGTGAAGCATGGCCAGCAGCACAGAAAGGTAAAACACAACACAGGGAGCTTTGGGCAGTCAAACAACACCACACAAAGCACTGATGAGTATCTGACTTTACAGACGTCCAGTTACTAGAGGAGTGAAGACCACTGACAGAAGCACAACAGACAGTTAGGGGTGCCGTTCCATTCAAGGCCTACCCTGTAGCCCCTCTTCCCGGGGATGCCAGGGGACCCAGGGACGCCAGCCTGGCCCTTTGCAGCGGAAGAAACATGATTATGACCCACTGATCTCAATGTGTGTAATAACTGCCACACAGCTCAGAATTGACTTCACCTTGAACCCAGGAGCGCCCGGGAGTCCTGATCCTCCCTACCACGGCAAAAAGGTAAAAGATGGTGGAAAAAGAAGAAAATAAAAACAGCTGATATTGTTTCTTCCAGATAGTAAAAACGACATGCAGAAAAGCGCAATCACACCACATGCAAAAGAACTACAAAGAAATGCAAAGAGGCATACAAAGACTCCAGATAACATCTGAGCGGTGTGTGTGTCTCTAGTTTGAGAGGACTGCTTCTCTATAGAACTGCAAAACGCTAAATAACTACAAAAAATGTTTCCTTCAGTCTGGTTGTACTTGTAAGTGGGTTGGGGGGCTAGGGACCCATTGTATCTTTCAATATTAAAGTATACAGTAACATTAAAAACCGTGACTGATTACATGTGTCAAATGGCAGCCACAGCATGATGAACTCTCTGAAAGTGGTCGTTAAAAATAGAAAGGGAAACGCACTTGAGCCGTTCAGCTCATCTGTGTAGCTGCTGCTCTTTCAGATGAATGGTTTAAAGATGATGAGCAGTCACAGCTGTGACCACCACCCACAGACAGCTCTCTGGTGGGGGGAGCTCCTTCAGTCCGGTTTGCCCTATAGTGGAATCAATATGCCCTCAACTTTGTGTCTGCTGATACTTGAATTTAATTTCTTATAATTTGTTCATTATCCCTTAGTTATTAACAGAAAGCAAAGTAGACCAGCACATTTAAACTGATATATTTCGACTTAATATCCAGAATCATGCAGCCACACAAACAGTGTACAGTGTATTATACATATTTATATGTTATTGAGAGCATTGTTATCACTCCAGCGTCTTCTACTGCCTGGCAACCATTGGGAAAATATAACAAGCATCCAGTCTCTGGTATTATTATTGTTATAACTGTATCCTTGGAAACTTATCTTCTCTCCAATTCTAACCGCACATCATCAGAGTGTTGTGGTGTAATAGTGTCATTAGAGCTGTAAGTGTCCGTCTTAAGACAGATTTGGTAGGAGTGACCACATCACGACAGAATGTCCACTGGTGCACATTAGTTTGTGTTCAGATGAAAGCATAGCTTGATCTCCAAACCCCCAGAAGGACCTGAGTGGTGATGACTTAAAATGCACAGAGGGTTCATTAGAGCGGCTCCCCAACAATCAGTTGACCCAAACAGGAAGCAGCGTCCCTCTTTGATCTGCCTGTAGCATTCCTCTGGAAAGTTTGACCATGCAACTATATTAACATCTCTCTTTCCGTGACACAAAGTAGGCTTAAATGTCACATTCACATGCCATGTCATGATTTATCAATATGCTAATCTCTTAATTGAAGCCATGCAGACACGGGTTTTCCACTTCAAAGGGGAAGTATTGAGACATGAGTTTGAACCAATAGTGTTATCATCTTCCGGGGATATAGCACTTGTTTTAATTGTGTTTGTACAGCAGCCAACTCAGTTTAAAGGTCCTTACACAACGAGACGATTTTCGGCGTCGATGAGCGTCGATGAGCGTCGATGAGCGTCGTGTCGCCCTACTCAGATTGGTGTGTACTGCACCGTCGTGTCTTTTCGGCCGTGCCGACACCTTCCGCCGCCGATTCGACATGTTGAATCGGTAGGCTGTCGGCCAAAGGCCGTCGGCCAAAGAAATCACTCTGATTGGCTGTTCAGCTTAGCGAATCAGTGCATGAGAAGCGAAACGGAAGTGAGCGACCCAAACAAACGATTAAGAAGGCAAATCTGAGATTGAATTTAACTCCAGCTCTCGACACAGGTTCGGGAAAGCCCCATGAGCTTCTCGCTGTAGAGTGAAAATGGAACGCACACGCTATTTGTTGTTTGTTTATATCACGCAGTCTGTTCTTCTTCTCTCGGTTATCACGCAGTCTGTCTTCCGGTTGTTGCCTCTTTTGAATGACGAATACACACTACCGCCGCCTGCTGGTAAGGAGAGTTATTGCCACTCACGCATGCGCAGTTCGTACGTGTGCTACTTGGCCGTCGGCTGAAGTCTTTGCGGTGTGTTCCAGTGCGAAACATGGCCAAGACGCAGAGACGCGAGGCGACGTGAGCCGACGTTCCGTCGGGACGTGTTCTTTGGTGTTCTTTGGTGTCAGTTTGGTGTGTAAGGAGCTTTAGAGGAGGGACATGGAGACGCAGCTACTCACGGCCAGACCTTTGCTAATGACTTATATGTACAGGTTCCATGTGTACACTGACAGTGAACCAGGATGCTTGGTAACAGAATGATAGGATTAGGCATAGGCCAATATATCAGTGTGCTTATACAGTACAAAGCTGTTATGAGCTCTTTAAAGTTATTCAGCCAGTATCACTTAGGCCAAATATTATAAAAAATATATTACACTGAAAGATTCATTGTCAAATATATAAATAATGAATGATATTGTGACATGTTACTGCATAACATGTATTTGATATGGACCTTTGTCCTTTCAGTATGACTGTTCCCTTCATGTCATAGGAGTTGTCATCAGTGTTTGCATGTTGGGATGCTTTTTCAGCCAGTAAGCCAGTTCACTGATTATACACAGTACAAGTGCAGTCACACTGCTCTGCCTTGGTTTCTGCATTACGTTCCTCTTTCCTCTCGCCTGTCGACGGAGACATTGCAGTTCATCCTGCTCCCCTAAAATCCCCTAAAGAGTTCTTGCAACCGTTAATGTGCCCATCATACTGTGATATATATTGTTATAGGTATTATGAAGAGGGGCCTGAGAATGCCAGTACGACAGTTCATGTACCAAACAGAACGCTTCAAGGAAGCATCCTCGATAAAAATAAGAACAACATATTAGTCAAATGCTATGATTTTTCAATGATTTCAGTAAAAAATGGACATTAATCCATTCAATGAAAAAAATCAGTTTGTACTTTTTTTCATTTCACTGTACTCATATAGAGCTGAAACAAGAAGTGTTGCAGATGTATGGTCACTGTGAAGAACAACCCAACATGGTGGGTGATTGGAAAACGTAACTGCCGTGTTGCCCTTTGCTCAGAGTAATTCCTCCAGCTGGGGAGCTCATTGCTTCTCATTTGCAGTGAAAGGAAGAAGGTCGAGATAGCTTTTCATTTGCTCAAAGAAGTGCATTTGTTGGCACACAGTCCTTTGTCATAAAATTCACTCTCTCTGATGTCGTGTGTTTCAGTTCCCACAGGCTGCTTTCAAAGACAGAGCTTATTACACGTCTAGTCTACAGCGAAGTAGTAGAGTGTTTCACCAGGTTGACAGATGGGACTTGGGTTGGTAGTTTTGTTAGCTTCCTTCCTGTGCTTTAGAGAAGTCATCATTTGTGGTCAGCACCATGCAGATCTGTTTCCCCCCTCCCCAGAACCTCTACCTGGCCATTATTTTCAGTCTGGCAAGGGGCACCAGCAGCCAGCTCATTTAGGTTATAGATTTCCCCTGGGCTGATGGAAGCCCAACCCCTTAAGTGACCTTACCCACATAAAAAAATCGGCCTGCAAAAGCACTTCCTCTTCGTTATTAAATAATAAAAGCTTTTTCCAGAACAGTTTTTCCCGTGGCTACCAACGAATATTCACTTTCCTTGAAGTTTTCACTTTTGACTTTTTCTTCCTCTTTCCCCCACCTGTCCATATGTTTGGCTTAATAGAGAAAACACACACATGGCAGCGGCCAAAGAAGAGCTGCTGCAGGTCAGCTGGGACTAAGACTCCTCTGTGTAGTCCACATAAAGTGGACATGGATTTATTATATCAATTAGTTAGCGGCCCAAATGGAAGTATTAAGAACAACAAGGGCAGAAAGAGAGTCCAATCTCATTAACTCTGAATATTTATATTGGACTTAATAGGACTCAAACCTTGAAGAAACTACAATAAAAACTGGCCTGATTATCCATCATGACAAAAAATAAATAAAAGATCCTAAAAACAAATGTGAGATGTGCATTATTGCCAGGTAAAGCCTCAAAGCACAACTGAACATTGAAACTGTGATAATTACCATAATATAAGTCAAACCAATAAAGTGTAACTGTGTGTCCTCCTAAATGTATACATCCATGATGGATTTTAGGTAGTGTGTGTTCAAAGACAGAAGTGCCGGTCCTCTGAGAGGAACATGGCAACTCAGTTTCAATCACCCAAGCTTCAGTGGCCACGTTGGTGATCGTGCCATGCATGAACAGACCTTGACATGCCGCACGCGCACACGCACACGCACACGCACGCGCACGCACACACACACACACACACACACACACACACACACACACACACACACACACAACACACACACACACACCACACACACACACACACACACACAACACACACACACACACACACACACCAACACACACACCACACACACACACACACACACACACACACACACACACACACAGCTTTCTCTATACCTTCCCCCCCCTCTCTCCTGGGTAACCCCTCTTCCCTTCATCTCCCTACAGAGTGGATGAAACAGCAGCTCAGAGAAGTGGTGGGGCAGTTAAAACAGACACACCCTTTCAACCACGAGAAAATCAACAGACAGCGAAGGCTCAGGGGGAGAGGAGTACACGTCCTGACATGGAGCTGACAGGAGGAGATCTCAATATTCACAAATGACAGCAGGGCCTATTGGTTCCAGTTAAAAGCGTGTCTGAACAAAATGGCCGTTCACAAACATTTACTACACTTAAGAAACTGAAAAGTTGACTTTAACTAAATGTTTTATTTCAACAAATTTCACATAACTGTATAAGGTTAGTTTAAAGCAATAATCTTAAGTTGAAATAACTATAGCTTTCAACTAACCTAATGCTATGTGGAACCTGTTGACATGATACATTTAATTAAAGTCAATGTTTATTTTTTTCAGTTTAGTTATTAAAGGTGGCTCCAAACAAATATTGTAGGGTCTTTAAAGAAAATGATTTTGTAAAAAAAAAAAATCTAATCAATACAAACAGAATGAACACAATAGTCTATCATGGGCTCAGGATAGAGGGTTATGGGGGTCAAGCATTTCCAAAATGGTGGACCCTGAACAGAACATGGTTAATGAGCTTCAGCCCTTATTTGTAGCAGTTCCTTAAACAGTTGGGACTCTTAAGAAAAATGAAAAGGTAAACAATCTTACCTTTGTCCCGAGGTCTCCCTTTGTTCCCTGTGAAGCAGAGACAGATACCATGAGTGCATCAATGGATCACAATAACAGCAGTCCACTAGATGGGGCAGGAGACCCTCTGTGAGCGTTACAATGAGCAGAGAGGACTGGGTCCACCCCTCACTGAGGGGGTGTGCAAACTGAAGGAGCATTTTCATCTCTGTAGTTGTTGTCCAACCTTTGGAGGAAAAGCCTGGAAATAGTTCCTCTCCTCTGTCCTCTCACTGACCCTCAAGTGAGTCGCCTGATGTGCTCATAAAGCTCATGGCAGAAAACAGAATCATGGGAACACAAAATAAGATGGAAGAATGGTTGAAGTTTGCAAGGCTATAATCTGCACAGAAACTCACAGCAACCAAGTTCTTCCAGCAGACCCAGCCCCAACGTTTCAGAAGGCATCAGGAAAATCACTTTCCCAGAGAGTGATGCAATGGATACTGTTGTGACAGCAGCCAAACTGTTGGATGATACCCAGAGGATTGAGATGCTTGGCTTTACCTCTGGGGAGGTTAGTGGAGGGGGAATTTATTGACGATTGAAAATAACAAATGCATTTATTTTTTATGAATTTAAAGAATTATAGTTTATATAAAATATATCTCAGTTGCAGACATTAGGTGTTGTTTGGCATAAAAGCTACATTTTTATTTGAATCTGCAAATCTCTAATATTAGTTATTTGCAATATATCATGTTGATTTTAAACCTATGCTGTGTGTGGGGAATCTAACTGAAGCCTTTCATTGGCAACCAAAAAGAGGAACATCTGCACTTCCTAAATTGAAAGGCGTGGTGTATACATATTTTAGCTGGCTGTAATTTTTTTTATATAATCTGGGTTGAGTGAAAAATAAAATGTGATCACTATTTACGGTAGTCTAAAGGCAGGTTTGTGCTGGAAGTATTGACACGCTCATGACCAAGTTCTTATGTCACATTTTAGTATCGCCTCAGCTCGCTGGGAACCTTGCCTGAGGTGGTAAGGTAATATCGTTAGTGGAAAACCAAAAAAGAGAAAGTCAAGTAACAATGGTACAATAAAGATTGAGTAACATACAAAATGACGAGGTCATAAATGGGACTACAATTCTTATAAACTGTATGGAGCTTTAAGCCTCTTTTAGCACTGATACAACTACAGACACAGTGAGAAACTGAGTTGGCCAGCAACACAACTCCAAATGAATGCTAATGTTGCGCTGTGTCTGCTGGATGTAAATGAGCAGCTGCATGCTGTGTCATGTTACCATGGAAAGGCTTGGATTACAAAGCGTTGAATGTGCACATGTACTTGTTAGTTGTTGTTTGTGTCCTCTAACAGAAGTGTGCCAAGACCTTATGAGGCGGTCAGGCAGGTGGAGAGTGAAGCATCGCTCACAGCTTCAAAGCAAGATTAGACTATTTAAGCTGCCATCGACACAGTGTGTGCGTAAGTGTGTGTGTGCATACGCGTTGTTGTTCCTGTCAGTACTTAGGAGACTAACATTCAATAATCAAACAAATGTATCCCATTAAATAAATGCCAAAACCATAAATGTGGCAGCAGATGGTACCTGCATCATTTTGTGAGGTCAGGGCTGTAATAGTTTTATGACACACAACTTCAAAACCAGCTTCATTAATAATGACTGTGGTGCTAACTTGGACAAGATGGGGGACAAAATCCACAGCCTTCACTTTTAGAGCTCAGGCTGATATTAGAGGTAGACAAACAAATGTATAGTCCAAAGCTACAGTCCTTTAATATGACACACCCTGTTCCAGTCAAGATGAACATACACATCGGTTTTGACAATGTCTCAAATTATACTTCTAGATAGCATGGAGACATGGCACGGTAGACGAAAAGTGTGTGAGATTTTAAACTGTCATTGCTCATGATTAATCACAGCTTATTATTGTGATGAACGCAATACAATGTTTCAATTGATTGACACCTCTAATCAAAATATATCTTTATCAAATCTACTGATAGCTGACATAGTGCACAATTAAACATTTTAAAATGTTTAATCATGTCTTCCTTACTGCAGTTTCCCCAGAGCTTCTCACAGTGCAATTGCATTAGAAAAGGATCACTTCACGGCCAGAATGGAGGAGAGGCATGGTAACATTACATTACATGTCATGCTTTGATCCAAAGCCACTTACATACATTCAGTACTGTGGACAACCCCCTCAGGAACAATTTGGGGTCTTTTCCAGGGACACAACGACATGCTGACTGCAGTGGGACTGAAACTTGTTACCCCCTGATTCGAAGTCCAGCACACTATCCACTGAGCCACAGCCTCCCCACAATAAAGCATGATTCATTTCAATGTGCATACATGTTAAGTAGATCTTAAGCATATGCTTTAAAGTTTGTTTTAAACTTATTGTTGTCATTAACCGTTGAATGACAAACAAAAATGCTGCAATTAAACGTAAAAAGTTATATACAGGCAGAGTGGAATACCTTTGAGCCGTCAGAACCCGCTGGGCCAGCGTCCCCTCGATCCCCCTGGGGAGGGACACAAAGATAAATATCAGACACTGATTGACAGGAAGTTGACGAATAACAAACATGGCGTGTGGACTCCATACAAGCAAAGGGACAAATTATTTGTTGAAACCATTTCCCTCTGAGGTGCTTTCAAGTCCCTCTATGAACTTCTATATTGTACGTATTTATCTCGTTAATATACCAGCTTACAGATGGTTACACCTTCCTTTATCATCTGCATTTATCCCTGCAGCTGCCTTTAAACACATGTTATATGAAGAACCACCGTTACTGAGGGAAACAGATGTTTTTTGCTTGACTTTTGTGATTACAAATCTATCAATTACGTGATGGATTGTGTTCTCATATTTCCACCCAATCACCCATCCTGGATTCTACTGACCGTATTTATTAAAGTTAAGCACAGAAGATAGCTCACCTTTTGTCCTGGCACACCTGGTTCACCCTGGAGAGTAACAAGAGTGTAAATACATTATATTTAAATATGAACAGAAATGCAGCTGGCTGAGGCTTGTTTTTAGGGATTTAAAACCATGTCTTTCTCGGATGCCTTTGTGATCAGCTGTTACTGCTCATGCTAAAGCTGATGAGACTCAGCCTGTTTCCATAGTGAGGAGCAGCAATAAGTCTCTGACCGTCTATTTGACCTCACAATCTACACAGTTCCTTCCAAGTAATACGGACGATAAAGTCATCACGTGGAGTTAAAAAAACATCCAATCCAAAGGTTTCTGTTGTGAAGCTGGGGATGGTCTGATATGTGTGCAGCTGCACAGAGACCTGATCCTGGTTCTGTGACTTGTTTTATTTGGGCCTCAGTGTGTTTGTCTAAGACATCATGGGATCTCACAGTGATGCTAATTATGTTTTTCAGAAATGTAATTTTGCTGTTTGGTCAAGAAGAGAAATATGTTTACCTTCAGTCCTGGTAAAAGCTGCAGAAACAATGTGGAAATAAATAGGTTTAATGTCACACCAACACACCTTCAGTTATGTGCAAAATGTGGAAAATAAATGTGGAGGACTCACTGAAGCGAAGCTGACCCTCGGGTCTTTTCCAGGTTTGCCTGGCTCACCAGGCTTACCCTGCAGAGCAGACGTGAATTAGTCATTATCAACAAAACTACCAATGCAGTTCCATGATGGGTCACATCCATCCCATGTCTAAATACTCCCCTTCCTGTCCTCATGCATTACCAGCTTGGTGATGATCTACTCCGCCCGATCAGTCACCTGTCCCTAATCATCTTTCCTCTCAAAATATTCCGTCTGTGCCAGTTCGTCTCGTATGTTTTGAGTCTCAGCTAATTCCCAGTGTTTCTTCCTATGTGTGCTATCTCGACTTGTTCTACCTATTTATTTGATGAAATGTTTTTTAGTTGCACTATTCTGTTTCTTTAAAATTGCCATTTTATACATTTGCTAGTGTCAGAGTAACAGAAATGAACTCACTGCTGGGCCAGAGGCTCCATTAAGGCCCGGTGTCCCTGGAGTTCCGGGGGGTCCTGGAGGTCCTGGGGGTCCCTGCGCTCCAGGCCCGCCCTGCTGGGAGACCTTGAGTTACAATTTGCCATGCTGGAACACACCTTGCCATACTTGTCATGCCAACACAACAACCTCACACAACACCACAAATAAATGCAGCTTGCAGAGAGAAAGGTTAGCGGGGGGCAAGGCAAGCGTCGCTTAAAATGCTGCACGAGAACATTCATTCTTGACCTTTGTAACAGGAATCTGTGAAAAAATATTCCAAACTCAAGGTTGACTCTTTTCAAAGGCTTCTGCCTTAAGGCTTCAAAGGACATCAGGGACAGAAGCTTGCACACACAGTGAAATGTGTTCTCTGCTTTTAACCCATCCTAGTACCAGGAGTCTAGTAGTAGGAGCATTGGGCAGCTATTGTACAGCGTCCGGGGAGCAATGGGGGGGTTGTCAGGTGCCTTGCTCAAGGGCACCACGGCAGGGCCCAGGAGGTGAACTGGGACCTCTCCAAGTACCAGTCCACACTCCATATTTAGGTCTGGTCGGGGACTTGAACCAGCGGCCCTACGGCTCCCAGTCCAAGCCCCTTCTGACTGAGCCACTGCCGGAGTTGACATGTTATCAAAGTGTGTCACTCAGTTACTTGGTGACACCTGAGCAAGTTCAACCACGTTCCACTAAGAACTCTAGTGAGAGCATTGAGAGTGTTCTTCTCTATATCTACCTTTGTTTGTAGAGCAATATAATGGGAAATATAATCCATGACATTGATGTGATTCTCTTTCTTCTTGACCAGCCTAATACAATCAATGTTACTCGATTGCAGATTTCCCCCCAGTAGTGTCAAAGGTGCTTTTCCAAGATTAGATATGTTTTTGGGGGGTTAAAAGGAAAATAATTTCCGCCGCTGATTTTTTCACCTCATAAAATCAATTTGTTGATTGCTACAGGTCAATATTTTACTGATAATATACTGTACACATATGGAAATACGCATTATCATAGAGGGCAACAGGTCTGCATGGCATGTATAGATGCATTTTGCCACAGTACATGATTTATTTGCACATGTGGTTCAACTTAGAGAAGTTCCTTACACAAAGCGCTGGCCTCACTTCAGTCACTCAGCAATCACTGTGTTATGGTAGGAGAACCCACATGTACAGTAGCTCAGAACCAGAGTGCTGCCAAGCCTCTATTCTCAGATAATGGAGAACATATCCATAAGCATAACATCCACATTTGATCATTCCTGCAGAAAACTGTCATGATATGATGTCTGTCTCTGGACATGTTGGGCTGTTCTCAGGATTACACACACTGTTATGGGCAGGTCCCAGCTGCCAATAGCTGATCATAAAATGTGCTGTTCCGCACAATTTAATCACAGGAAAGAACATACAATTCAGCCATAACTCTATTCTCTTCATGATGGAAACCCACTATATCAGATGGTCTCCAGTGACTGGCTTGTATCTGATTTACTATAGGGAGTCTATATGAACTTTATACGGTATATCAGAAAATATTTGTATTCAATATATGACTATATCATGTCCTAACAAGGGGCCAACCTGTGCCAGAGTACCAAATAAGGCTCCTTCACACACACTTTGGTCTTGTATTGTAATGTCATAACTTATGATATACTTTATTGTATCCAAAGAAAAACAATATTTTTATTATTTATACCTTACAACATATTTAGGTTGTTTATTTTTATTTCTGGCACATTTAGAGATATATTCTGTGTCTTTTCATTTCTAATTGGTTATTACCATTTCAATTCATTGCCAACATTCATTGCCATACAGGAAGACATTTGGCAAAAAGTAAGGGTACTTTTCTGTATTTGTATTTTGCCATTGGCTAACTCCACTTAAAACCACACTGAATAGTTTTAACCAGAATCATTTGTATTTAACATTAGAAAAAGCTGTAAATAAAATATAACAATTTGTAAAACCATGGCAACCACAGCATTTGTGTTTGATTTCTGGTCAAGCATCTTTGACAGAAAAAACCTTGAATAAGACTAACCATCATGAAGCAGTAGCAGCCAGAGGAGGTTAATTACAGCATGACGACGGAGGAGGGAGGAGGGAGGGGGGGGGTTGCGATGGATGATGGCGGGTGGCATCCACAGGGCGGGCGGAGAAGAGGGGGCAAGTAGGGGGCAGAGAGAATTGTACCTTGAGGCGTTTTAGGATTAGAGGGCTTATTGAGGGCATGTTGCGCACGCTGATGGGCAACATCTGCCGGGGGGAGTCACAAAGCACAGGTGGCCAGCGGTGAAAAAAGGTCACAGGGCAAAGGTCACCAGGAGGAGAGAGAAAGGAAAGGAGAATGAAGAAGAAGGGGGAGGGATATGGAGGAAAAAGAGAAATAGAACATCAGAGTGGAAAGTAAGTCAATGGAAGGGCAAAGGATCAAAAAAAGGAAACAAGGTAGAAGAAAGAAACGACAAAAGGCACCGGCACAGCAAACTATGGGCCTGGGGGGGCAAAGGGGATGGGTGATACACTGGGATGCTTCTTTATGTTCAAAGACTGTGAACGATTTCAAATCTCTGAGGTACTGACAGAGTGATGGTTGCAAATCATTAAGCATCCCAAACCCAGGATAATGTGCATCAATGTCCCCTTCACCGTGGCCAGGCCCTCAGAGTGCAGCGGAGCAGAGGTGGGCGCAGCGGAGCCACAAAGAGAGGACAGCAGTACAGAGACACATCCAGACTTACTGTGGCCAACTGTCCCACACAGGGCTGTACAATACGCCGCTTCTGTTGAGACGACCAGCATGATCAGATACACGTTTAGGACAGGACAGTACAGGTATGATCGCTACATTTCCCCGCTGACACAAAATAGAACCAGCTGCATGCAACTTGCCTACTTTTTACAGTGTACATATTTCCAAATTGTTTTATTATGCAGAATCTTTAAAGGAAGACTACCTTTACCCAATACCTTAACCCCAAAAGAAGTATTCAGTACTATTCCATATTATTACATGGTTAACCCAGCATTATTTTGGAACATACTTCTTTATATTGTGTAGTCTGTCAAACTATTTTCAAGTAGATTAGAGTAAGGCCAAAAATAAGAAGAGTACCAATTAAATGGAAATATATACAGAATGTTATTAGTACAAATAAGTAGGGGATACATGTAGCAAGTAGGCAAGTGTGCTGCTTTGTCCCTCACCATTCCAGCTCTCCACCACACCAGGTTCAATGTTAAGAAGTCAACAGCTGCCAATAAGAGGGTGAAATCCTACATTGATATTTCAATGATTTTGTCCAACTGTGTTTTTTATAATTAGATTAATTTTGTTTGAGTATGTGAAAATTCTAATAATTGTAAGAGTCCTTTACTAAATATATGTTTTGTGTAAACTCCTAAGCCTTTTTATTTCCTGACTTCAAATAGTGAAAATAGTTGTAATGCCTTATGATCTGGGTGGACACAAAGGGCTGTTACCATCCTGAGTGTCATGTCCCATCTGTCAATGCTCATTTTCATTTTTGGTGTTGGTCTGTATTTTTAATTCTGTATCAGAATGTTTTGGGTGATAATAGCATCGCAACATAAATGTAACTTATAAATGTAACTTGCATTCCATTACCATTACGAACATGGAATTGAATTCAAATGTAACTTTCATCTTTATTTTCCATGCAGACCATGTGCATTTATGTTTGTCATACATCTGCACAAACATGGAGAAAATCATGTATTTCTTTATTATTAGTATCCCTATGCTTCACGGGCATATTACAAATATAACTTTTTTGAATGACTTAAAAAACAGTTAAACAAAATCAGTAGCACCCTCATTGATATTTGTCTCCCTTTGGGTGGAGAGCAGGGTGGGAGGGGGGGGGGCTTGGCTCTAGGGCGCTGGCTCTCTTTGCGGCACAACTTGGTTACACCCCTGCTGAGGGTTGATGGCACCCACAAACCTTCAACATCAGAGCCTGACTGGAGCGCAAGGCAGCCAGGGTTTTCAGAGGCAGCTCCTGCACAAACAGGCCCTGAACACAGCATCTCAGTCAGGGCAGGTCACATGGCACAGAGCCATCCAACCACACACACAGTGAGTCATGTCTCAGGAAGAATTGGAGAAGATGTCAGTTTAAAGGACAGCTCAAATGAATGAATACTCTGCGTGAGTGTTTCAGGTAGATGCTGGACGAGGCTATCCTGGCTCTGTGTATAAGAACCAAAGACCAGGTTCAGCAGTCAGCTTCATATCTGCTGTTTCTCTTTTCAGGCCAGGCTATCTTACTATCACCACTTCAAGTCCAACCATATCTTGAATGCAGTTTTGTACTCGCACAGACGTGAGATTGATATCAATATTTGTCCTCTGAGAAAAGAGGGCAAATAAGTATATCACGTTAATGTAATTAAATGACTTCATTTAAACATTACTTTACACTGCCACAAAAGAAAAATGTGCAGATCTTGCCGGCTCTGTCCTAAAACTTTCCAAACACTGAACACTCTGCGGTCCCTTACAGTATCCACCCCCCCCCCCCCCCACTCCCCCCTCCATAGGGTCTCACTACAGGATTGAAGCCTGAAGTGTGAGCAGACACTTGGAATGGACCCCTATACAGCCCGCTGCAGGGGGTTCTGACACTTGAATGACATACAAACAGCTTGTTAGAAGTGGGGGCCGGGCTCCTTTCAGGCTAGAGGAATCAAACCCAAAATACTCTCTTCTTCCACTGAGCTCCCCATTCTTAGACTCATAAAGGCTGAATAATTCACTGCTCAGAGATGTATATCGCAACACATACAACTGTTTTTACTTCAAGGTAGAAAAAGTCAAGGCAATGGCAAGGCATGCCAAACAAACATCTTTGATCATGTTAGCAGGAGCAGTTTAATAACTGAAAGGTTTAATTACGCTGGAAATGGACTTTGCTATCTGAGAAATCCCCCTTTACACAGGAGACTCTTATTCTTGGCACCACACACAGGCTCTTATCACACAGCGCTGCAGCAGGCTGCCGGTAATCGCCTTGTTTTCTCTCAACTAGCCAAACCCCAGAGACCGTGCCAAAGAAGTGCTGAGCTCAGCATGTGCTCCCCATCACTGCTACTAGTCTGTCCGGCTTCTGGAGGATTTTCTCTCCTCTTCCAACTTCACTTTCCTATCCTGCTCCAACATTATGAAACCGTACACATGCTGACCTGTGAGAGAGGTGTGTTACTCGCTGTAGGGTGGACAACAACACAGGTTCACTTTGTGTCATCATTTAAACATATACTGTATATTGCAGTACAGTAGGCAAACAAACATCATATCTCATCTTTAACATAAACACTTTTCTGTGAAACAATGAATGTGTAAAACATTGATGTGTGTATGTTTTCATACCCGGTGTGTGTAGTCTCCACATACACCCTGGAAAGAACAGAAAGAGGTCAATCAGAGGAGACAAAGGAAGAGTACATGTTTATATCAGAAAGGCGTTTTAGAGTGAAAGCAATAGCTTTGAAAGAGGTTTAACACAAAACACATCTTCTCCTCTATGAGAAGGGTAGGCTTTGGTCACTTTTCCAAACTAGGCACTGACAGTTAGGATATCTTGGGCTCTGCTGCTTCTTTAGACTTGTTGTAACCCTCTCTCTTGAGTCTCCCAACCTTACAGAAGTGCACTGCTGATTTGCTGGAGTAACTCTTTCACAATCAGTAAATGTTCTGAATACTTTTTGAACTCCTGCAAACCATGCCTCACCTTTTGCCCCTTGAGTCCTGGTTCCCCCTAGAAACAGAAACAACACAGGTGAGTGAGATTAGTGAGAGGTTTAGCAGTTAGCTGCAAAGATTAGCAGCTTATATGTCAGACCTGATACCAGACTTCAGAGACGTACTTGGAGTCCTTTAACGCCACGCTGACCCTGCAAGACAACAGCAACACACTCAGTCTTTCATGTGATTCAAGCGTAGATCTTCAGCTTCACAAAAAAACATACATGACTGACCACAAATCCCTCCAACGAACAAAAATGAAATGAGTAAATATGTCGAGGCATCAATCAGTCTGCTGAACAAGCTGTTCAGTAGTCTATTCCAATGACTTGTTACGGGCGAAGGCACTGAGTTTGACTTCCCAGCAGGCCCTTGGGTGTGCCCCGGGTTGTAAGTAGCTGTCAGAGCCCAGCGTCTGGGTGATTAATGAACCCAGGCAGAGGGCCGGCAGGACACATCCAGTGCCCCCCATGCTGGGGACCCCATGGCCCTACGCTCCAGAGCCACTGAAGGCAACAGCATCTCTATACATTTAGCAGGCAAGCCCTCAAAGCCCTTTGTAATACTCCCTGACATTCGTCAGGAAGGAGACTGAGAAACAGGAGCCCATTATGGGCTCATTAATCAACATTAAACATTTTTTCAACAGTATCCAACCCCACTTGGCCTCCTGGAAATGTTGTCGTTTGTCCTGGCATTGAGTTCCCTGGAGCTGTCCCCCTGCTTCAAAAAACAAACCCCTGTCTGACTGAGAGTAATGGTGTTCAAACAGAGGCTTTCGAGAAGCTACTGCAATGAGCAGCGGGCATGATAAAAGCCAGAGCGTTAGCATCAGGGACAACACTGAAATGACCTACACCACACCGTCAGTGAAGTACAACAGAGCTCTTTCATACTGCAAATCTAAATTAAAGCTGAACATTATTCCAGAGAATGATCTAAATGGGTGGGTCGCATGTCCAGATGGACTCCAACAGTCGGAGAGAGGACACACATTACATGCTATCTTTGGTATGGTTAGGAGCAGAGTTATGGCAAATACACTTCATCATTAAGGTTAGATGGCTCAAGAATGTGGTTAAGTTAAGATAGAACACAAACTCCAACCTCCACATATTCATTTTCAACTTTAATAGGACAGACTTCCTGCACTGAACCTGAACCTGAACATAAACCCTATAACACCCCGTGGAAGCTCATACAATCATTGTTATTGTACAATGCCATGTATTTTTATGCTGCTGCAACGCAAACATTTCCCAAATTGGGATCAATAAAGTACTATCCTATCTTATCTTATCTGATCTTATCTTATCTTATCTTATCTTATCTTATCTTATCCTACACACACTTGCTTGATCTCTGTAATGGCTGAGAGCCAGCCAGAGTAAGACGTCTTTCGAACATCGATCTAAACTGAATGACTTCATAAGCCTATTCCTGTCTCACCAGCAACATGATGCTCATAATATGACTTATAGATTATAAAGCCATTTAGGGATATAGAATGTTATTAGTGAAGGGGGCATGACATGTGTCCCAGTAAAAACACAGAACAATCCCTTAGTGCCCATTCCAGGTAGTTAGACTTGTGCCTACTAACACTGATTTAAGCCACAGTTTGCTAACAGCTCCCATGTGACCGTCCACTGTTAGCCCATCACTGTGTGCATAAATCAGGCACCACTCTGTTTGTCTTAGAACTGCGTGGGCTCAAAATGAACACAAAGCTAAAGTTAAACTGAGCAGCAAAACAAGATTCAGTGTAGTTTTTTAAATGTTGTAAATGTGTGAACATGTCATTCAACATGCCCGTAATTCTATGATCAGGGTGTTATTGGCTCAAATTAGTGTTTGACTGGTAGTAATGGTATTATATTGAAACTGTGATGATGAAAAATGTAAGGAATGCTTACCATGTCTCCCTTCGGTCCGTTCTGTCCCTGTGGGAACATTAAAGCGGTCAGGGCAGGTGGTGGAGTGACGGAACCAATGCAAACTGATTTTCTTGTAGTTCTTAGATATCCATAGCATGTTTAACCCCGCCCTATAATAACACTAATGACACTTGATTTTATTACGGTAATGACCATCATTATTATTATCCTAATTATGCTCATTATCGTGACCCTATGATTGGTTATTGCTTCTAAAGAAACACTCAATTACTCAGTTATTTCACTTTATGACAGGAACTGCGGAAAACTCACAGGCTTGCCATCCAACCCAATTGGACCCTGGGATAAAAGAAGAGGGGGAAATGTTAGAGTTCATCACAAATGACTGCACCAACAGCTGGACCCATTATACATTAGTTAGAAAACAGTTGAAGTGCTAAATACAGAGCAATACAGGTAAAGTGCAGAGGTAGAGTGAGTAATGATTCATAAATAATGTTGGCAGTAAAGTGACATTTGGTTAGCATTAGTCCTGATTCAGGGTATACTATACATCCTCGCCCTGCAGAGGCCTTTCACAGAACTCAGAGATATCAGCTGAAAGTTGGTGTAACAAAGTAAAGTTCTCTTCACCCCCCAACTGACTTGAGAGCAGTTCAGCAGCCCTCAGTGCTGCAGCTGCTGGATGGAAGCTACATGTATAGCTTATGCTAGTTGTGGCAGAGGCTCAGTCTGTAGGGACTTGGAACCAAAGGATCGCCGGATCACGTCCCAATCAATGATATCAGAAAGGTCCATATTTGACACAAATGATCAATGTGTTTAATTTATAAAAGTGTCAGCCTGACTGAGGATGGTATGACTTACTGGAAATCCTGGAAATCCTCTTGTTCCAGGTTGTCCCTGAAGAGAAACAGAAAGTCAGTCATGTGTTTGTTGTTCTTCTGAAAGTCTGACGTGAAGCTGATAGCAGCTCAGTGAGAGAAGATACAACCCTCCCCCCCTTCCCAAATACTTCACTGAGGTATTTTAGGAGGACCCAAATTGATTTTGACACGAGTGATACTGAAGCCTCTCATGATGTATTGGTGTGTGTGAATGCGTTCAGGCAGCACCGGAGGAAATTGGACAAAAGGACAAAAAGTTCTAATCTAATAAACATGTATTACTATAAGAGTTTAAGAGCTTAACGAGTGACTGTCCACTTCAATTAGCCAGCATGGTCTAATCAGCACAGCTTTGATAACCTGCCCTTTACAAAATAACAAGACATATATTATCCTGAAGAGAAGGAATGATGAGAAAATAAAGCTGTAAGACAATGACAAGAGGTGCAAGTGACTAATGACACAGTTGTAGTTAGTTAGATAGAGCTTTGAATGGGGAACATTATGTTTATGATTTGTATCCAGGATTTTTGTAAACAGAAACTTTTTTTTTTTGTAAACAGAAACTTTTTAAAGTCTTGTGAGCAAGCTCCAACAACCCTGTGGTTTAGGTACTATTTTTGTCAAAGTACTTTTCCAAAGATCAAGTATGACCTTTTACACTCAACCTTAATCCGACGATGTATCGCCTGATGAAGCCTGTGATGTGCTCCTGAAAGAACATTTGAGTGACCTCCTGAGTTGGTTTCTGTTTTTAGAAGAAGACCATTAGACCTTAAGTTAAGTTGTCCAAACATGGAAATACGGAAAATATTTTCTTTAAAATGTTTTGTCCTCCAATGCATTTAAGAAGGGATTGTGCATTTGCTATGATGCATCAATTGCATTTCACTAGAAAATGACTTTGCAGCCCATAGTCCAGCTGTAAGGTTGGAAAGTATCTCCCCACTGATCATCTAACCCGCTGAAATGACAGAGAGGAGAAGAAGCAAAGGCACTAAGGCCGGCCTCAGCTGTCACTCCCTCTCATTTCCCTTCACTTCTCTCTTGAATTGAGTCCCTTGTTCCAACTAAGGTCAGGACTGGAGTCTCTCGTGTCAGTCTCACCTGCTGTGGAGACCAGCTTCTAAGTGTTTCTGACTGACTGGCCCTCTAGCTTCAGGACTTGGCTCCGCCTGCACAGAACTTCCTCCACAGCCTGTTATTCATTATAGATGCCTATTACCATCATGGAGGAGTGGGCACACAGCTATGGATTGTAGGAACCATCAATTAGAAGAGCAGATGTGTGTTCCACTTAACTTGGCTGGACCCTTGGGCCATCTTTGTTTTCAAGGCATATTATTCTACTTTTCAGGAGGCCACATTGTTCACCTGAAAAATGTATGTAATGGGCCTCTTATAAAGAGAATGTCAATAGAATCTATTAAGGCCTAGTGTCTGGATATTGACCCCAGTTGGAGCAGGATCACATGTCTTGCTTTCTTCCCTGATAAAGCAAGCATGACTAATGATCCAAAGTATGGCCAAATCACAGTACCTTGAACAATGCTGCTGCATCCACGCAGTCTGTAATTATATATCATTATTCTATCGTTTGTGGTGCATTCTCATGCTTGGCTCAGCTAACATAAACTTGAGCCAGTACCCCACGAGCCTGGAAAGAGCACGTCCCTCCAAACGTCTACTTTAATCAACGTAAGCGAGAAGTCTGTTGTTTAAGAACACGATGTGTTAAGCAGAGGTCTACTGAAATGGTAGCTAATAAAAAAGTTTAGCATGCAGGCAGGCAGCTCTGATTGAAGATAAGAGCTTTATTATGTGTAGGGAGAGGTGAAGACACTTACAGGAGGTCCTCTCGGTCCAATGATGGAAAGACCTGGCTCCCCCGGTGCTCCCTATAGACAGATAGAAAGAGAGGAAGAAAAACATATTATCAGCGAAATTCAACATATCGGTGCAGTCATTTGAAGGTGAATAGCTAGAGTAGAGGTGAATCTGCCAACATTCAGTCAAAGGTGGTGGACATGCATATGTAAAGCTCTGGTCACACTGAAACGTTAGACAGTGAAATTGATTTGCATGATCGTGGGAGATAGGAAGTGCTAGAAGCTTAGTTGCGTCACCATTTAAGCCCTAAACCTTCAAAATGCACCAAAACATTTATCAGATTCAGTCCACCGGGAGTACAAATATGGACATTTTCTGGTTAAACCGGACATTTTTGATCCTGAAAATGTCAGAAATGGACTCAGCATCCTCAAATATCCCTACTATACATTTCTAACATAAAACTTTGGGGTACTCAACATTTAGGTGTTCACAACAGGACTCTATGAGCTGGCAAAAAAGCCAAAAGTAATGATGGAAAAAGAGGGATCATATCATCTGAGGCAGTTTTCAGGTACATCTTGGTTTTCTACAGCTTTAGTAGATTAGACAAGTGCAGATCTACAGATATACTTGTGAAGAGATTGTGTTACTTTGGTTGCAAAAGGTCAAGGTAACAAGGCAAAGTTAGAATCACAACTCAAACCATGCCCCTCTCAGAGCAAATACACACGCACAAAACCATGCATATCCTGTGGAATGAAAAGCAGACCAAACTCTGTGGATCTCATTTCATTGTAAATGACATGTTCTCTAGCCTATATCGAGTGGGGTGTTCACTGCTGTGGATCTTTGGCAAAACCATCCTGTATGTCTTTGTATTTTCTGCCAGTCTGTGGCCTCAAACGCCTTCCCACAGAACCCAGGGAGGCAGGTGGCCTCAAACGCCTTCCCACAGAACCCAGGGAGGCAGGTGGCCTCAAACACCTTCCCACAGAACCCAGGGAGGCAGGTGGCCTCAAACGCCTTCCCACAGAACCCAGGGAGGCAGGTGGCCTCAAACGCCTTCCCACAGAACCCAGGGAGGCAGGTGGCCTCAAACGCCTTCCCACAGAACCCAGGGAGGCAGGTGGCCTCAAACGCCTTCCCACAGAACCCAGGGAGGCAGGTGGCCTCAAACGCCTTCCCACAGAACCCAGGGAGGCAGGTGGCCTCAAACGCCTTCCCACAGAACCCAGGGAAGCAGGTGGCCTCAAACGCCTTCCCACAGAACCCAGGGAAGCAGGTGGCCTCAAACGCCTTCCCACAGAACCCAGGGAGGCAGACAAATGACAGATTGGTTTGCAATGTTCTGGAAATCTTGTTTTTCCTTATTCTCTTTGTCCCTGTTCCACTCTTCCTTTCCTGGGGAAGATGCTTCCTCTAGATGATTTACAGACATGTCTGCTGTGTATAATATCTGTATGTCTCCACCCTCTCGGCCCCAGCCACTACTCTAGAGACTAACCACAAATAGGACCTGATCGTTACAAATAGTTCCCTGCCCAGGTAAAACAAGGAAACCAATAGATGATTTTGGCTGTGGGTCTGTAAAGTTATCCAAAAAGCCACCACTCCATTGTCTGCTTGTCAGGTTACTATTTCTGTTCTCTCAGGCCCAGACCATAACTCCTTTTTATTTTGCCTCACCAACAATATTTAAGGTGCTTGGCTTATAAGCACACTTGTCGTAGTGACATGACAGTCAAGAATGTGCTGAGCGTTTCCCTTTTGGCTGCACTCTCAGTGCTGCTCATACAAATCAAGTTTTTGATGGGAAGAAATCTGATGTTTCTGGCTTTTATACAGTTGATTGGTAGATCTTATGATTACTTTAACAACTGTGCAGAGCCCGTTTGGAGGAGGGTTGAAATGCATTCAGCACATGTTGAGGTGAAACGGGAGACACCTTATGAAAGGTGTATTCCAAATGGTTTGTTTGTTTTCACACTTGGGGGCAGTCACACACAGTGAGGACACATCATCCTGCCATGGCAGACATGAAGCCTCTTTATTACCAGCAGACACAGACCACCATTACCGTCCTGTTGAGGGGTGTTCATGTCATTGTTTGAAAGAAAAACCTTTATAGGTGCTGCTAAAAAGAAATTGCTCAACATGTTGAAACATTGGCAGAGAGCATGTTTAGCTAGTGCTAAAGATACCCTAAAGAGTTGTATTGTACTTAATGTTTCTGTCTACCTGCAGTGTTTCTGACACACACGTGTGTGTACACGTTTCAGGTGCTTATCAGCTGTCTCTTCCTCCCTTATACTTGGTTGATTGCTGCATTTATCATGTAGCCACCTGTTGATCAGTGGAGTCATGTGGAACCATTGGTTTACATCATGCACGTCCATCTATGCGTGCAGAAGAACAAACCAAAACACATATTTGCTCCTCAGCACTTAAAGTGACTTGTTAGCAGATGTGTATCTGACTTCAAATAAGTTCCATATCTTAGTTCATTTTCATTGATAAACTCAAAATGAACCTATAAAAAACATAGCAGACATGAAATACTCTTCATGGATAGAGCTCATTACATTGATGTGAATCAAATGATCATTTAGACTTTTATGTTCCTTTGTTTCTGACATTGACAGATTTACTGCATGTTGACCGTCTCTGTTGACACACTTTTGCAATTCCTGAAGTCAAGCGGGAGATATCGGATCCTACTGTAAAATGTGTCTTACGTGTCATTTCCATCTTGAGGCCAATATCAATCTTTTCTCTTCCAGCTGGCTGCTTATATTTATGTTAACTTAGACAGAGAGCTGAGATTTAATATGGTGAAACGCACCAGTAACAACATTTATTTATCTCAATATATAACTCTATTCGTTTTAAGTGCTCTTTGAGAATCTCCTCATGTACTTTGCTATGAAGTCAATAAACCTTTCTCCATTTTCTTTGGGGAGTATTAAATGTAAACTTTCAGACTCTTATGTGACAAATCGTTACTCTTGTATTTCATGGTGTGAAGAGTTCAGGTAATCCAACCAGGGTGGGAAAGCATTAACAGAAAGGGACCCTCATGCTGGTTGAAAATGCAGAGCTGAGCCCCTGATATAAATCACATGCTACCTGTTCACACAGCTCTGCACGTACACCCACCAGCAAGACACATTTGAGCAATGTCTCAGCAAAAGCAGCCTGTTAATATGGTCTTTGACTGATGCAGAGTAGCTAGATTCTTTACTTCATCCTTCTAATGTCACATGGTCCTAAACTTACCTGTTCCCCTGCTCGTAGCATTAGACCCTTGTTCAGTCAGAGCAGACACATCGCATGCAAAAAGGTATGAAGGGAGGAGAGAGACACAGAAGAGAGGAACCAGTGTTAGAGACATGAGAGGGACTGGGGCATGCAGCATCATCAGGACTAGTGATGGGGGGGGGGGGGGTCTCAGTATATCATCAAAATATATATTTCCCTTGAGACAAGTATGTAATTCACACAGGACTGTACAAATATAAGCTTTACCATGAGGTTATTTCACCAATTAGACAATTTGATATATCATGAATATTTGTATTGAGATATGAAAGACCTGTGCTGTGATGGAGGATGTTGTGTATAAAGCTAAGCCCTATACTTTTGTAAACAGATTATTACCAGTATTTTTTTATTTGTTCATACAGCAACTTTTTTCATGTATCTACAATGCCTGGTCTAAATATGATCTCCAAACACGCTTCATCACTGTGATATTAACAGGAGTAGAGTTAGAGTTATTGGATGCCATTAGATGACAGCAATATGTTTAGCGTACTGAGACATTATGGATTGCAGCACACATTGAAGGCATCATCAAGACGGACTTGTCCAAAACGTGATACAACCAATCTGAATAAAGGTCTAGGATGTCACTTCCTTTGAGAAGGGGCACGGGGGAAAGTTAAATGATAGTATCTTAAAGGTCACCAATTATGCTATATTTTAACGATATATTATAGGGCCAAATCTATACAAAATATATCTCTGTGAAGAGAGGGCTGTCTACCAGCAGAAACTCAGCTAAATGCTGCGGTGATTAACGCCATATTATGTTCCAAACCACATCATGGATTATTTCTGAAACAGTATGGAGCAAACACTCAAACACTTTCTGGTTTACCAGAAGGACAGTACCTTTTATATATTTACACATATTCTCTCCAGTACAACGTTAGCTCTGAGTGTTAGCAATGCTTGCTAATGTAAACACAGACCATATTACTTCCAGAACACGTCTCACATTGTTTCTGATTCAGCACATAGCTTGACATGTTCTTTATTCAGTGTTTACAGCGAGAACAGTGCCATTATATGTATTATAACAACTTTACTCTAAGTCCCTCTCGTAGACACAGGCTGAACACACAGCCACACAGCTGAGGGAGGGGATTCAGCTAGCGACTGTATATGGGGATGATAGGTGGGGACGTGGGGGGGACGTTGCCAGGAGTTCAACGTAAAGCCAGCCCACATTTTAGTAATGTCGTCATGACCGCAACAAATCTGGATCAGCTCCATTGTTCCCCCGTTTTTAGAGATTAGGGTACGGAGGAAAAGAGAGAGGGTTGTATTTTCGGACACTTTGAGAGTCTCCTTACACACCGGGGACACATATTTATGTATAAAAGACATCAGAAAGTGCATTTTGCATAATAGGTGACCTTTAATGGAGCACTCTGGCTTGTTTTCAAATAGCCTTAGCTAGTTGAAGCCTGTGAGCGGCAGAGACCACATTATATGACATATATGTAACATATACCCAGACTTGAAACAGACCCACATGGGCCATGCTTAAATTGTTTGAAATATGGTCAAATTCAAAACTAACTAAATGAATTGAGTGGTAACTCTGTAAATTATATTACAGGCCATTAGCTTCAAAGAAATGACTGGAAGTAATATCAAAATGAAGCAGGTTGTAGTCTGTGGGTTCAGAACGACAGCCTGGGTGGGCTGAGAGAGACTTCAACACCAGCTGCTTTAAATAACATACAGCCTGAAACCTGAACGAAATACTACACGCAGC